CTCTCTTTATTTATTTCTTGTCCGTCTGACTCAGTTACACTTTCGCCTTGTAAAATAAATTATATATATGCTTAATACATAGATGTTTCATAGTTTTTTACAATAAAAATAATGAGAACAATACTTATTCTGCAACAAAGAGAAAATTTTCATCGTTATTTTAAAATAAATTATAAAATGTTTATTCTTGATCTTTTTATCCTAAAATGGATTTAGCAGAAATGTTAATTTATGCAAAAAATGAATGCAATTTAAAATTTTACGGGCGATAACTTCACACAACAGAAAATTCTGCTTCCCAGTTCAAAATTAGATCATTGCGTTGTTTGTTTGCGTATTTAATGATGAAGAATTTTATATGCTTAAAGAACAATACTTATATGTTTACTAACATGCAAGGAAGATTATATGTCAGCTTGAAATCCCAGTTGCATATCATTTGTTGTACCGTTATGAAAAGTATCTAAATTATCCACATGCTGATAGGAGGTCTATGAAATATTCTTTATTTGACCAAGTATGTAATAAGGGTTTAAGATTCACTTTCCCTTTCCCCTGAATGCATTCATTTTTTTTAAATTTTATATATCTATAGTTTTTGTCCTGTTCAGATATCGTGTCGTTGTGTTGAATGTTAGCCAAAATGCATTTGCATCATGACTCCCTCGTTGTTCCACGCATTACGCGGTATGTCATATTTTCTCATTGCATATGAATGTTCGTTTGATGCTTTATTCAAATGTGCACTGTTAATAAAACCTACATGTAACCTTTATTTGTTACATGGTTCTACTCTACTAACCATAGCTGTTGAATGGATAGTGCTAAATGATTTACCGTTGGGCCATAAGTGTAATTTGAGTAAATGTTCACCTTATAACAGGCCTTAGCCATGCTTGTGGGCAAATTACAATCATTCCATTAAGCAGTAGAGCCATTCAATAAAAAAAGAGAGCCATGCAAAATGTGTGCTTAAAAATTGTTACAAGGTTGCCGCTGTCTCGCATACCGCCCTCCTCACGCCATGTAACATCATAGAGATAAAATATATAAATCGTAATGAATTTAAAACAACCTGCATTACAATGCACATACGCATTATGTAAATAAAATCCTTATAAGAGGATTTAAAGAAGATTTCTTTTCACTTTTATCCTAAAAACCCTTTTATATTTTTAAACCTCGTTTCAGACAGCAAGAATGCTTAATATGTGACGTACATGGCCAGAATGGATTTTTTTCTATAGGCTACCGGTAAATTTAAAGATTGGATTACAGCCCCGAGACCCCTTCAAAACTAGCCACTATAGATAGGCTTAAACGAATCTAGCATGGTACTTGATTCTAACACAATGTGTTACAATACTTTTTCGTACAGTTCTATATTATTTCTATATTTTTTGCATACGCATCTTCAAATGTTCTAATATTGCCAATCATACTCAGGAAAAATTATGTAATTTAGACTAAAAAGCTTTTTTTTCTCATAATGCAACATTCTGTTTTTTCTATAGGTAATTTTTTTTACATGTAACTAGAAAGTGGAAAGACGATACTACCGTGTATAAACTTTTGTCAATTTTTGGTATACCAAACACCTCTTTTTTTAAGCAATCAATTTATTTTAATGTACAAAAGCCTCATTTTAATTGTTAAAGATTTTGTTGACACTAACAAAAGACATTGACAAGCCCCCCCCCCCCCCAACTGAAAATGTATGGATGTGCCCCCTCAAAGTGAAATTGCTTGCTACGGGCGTGATTGTCTCATAATTTTTGTTTCCATGACGCCTCCCCACCTCATCCCACTTCCCATGGTCCTTTGGCTCTGCATTCCTCAGATTTGTTAAACTTGTTAAAGGATAGATGATAAGAAATGAATTACCATACTGCTCAGGAGCGCTAACTCTAAAACTTTACTATCAGTACAGTTAACATTAACTGCAGTTTTCCCCCTTAAAGCGATAGTACGGCTGAAAAACGTGTGCTTTTTCATTCATATTTACCCAATATATCATTAAGAAATAAGATCATTAAGATATAAAGTTGATGTAAGCAGTTTGAGAAACATAAAAATTTTCTCCCCTCATACAAAATTAACGTAATTGGAATCTGTCGGAAAATCAAGGGTCGTACGAACTGGAGCATATTTGTAACACGTGAATTCTAAAATGGCACGTGTCTACACTGTAGAGTTTACAATTACATGTACATGTATAATGAATATGAGGTAAAAGCAATTCTCAAAAGCAAATTATCATTACTTTCTGATTAAATAACACAGGTACAAAATAATAATCGTAGAGATTTTTGTCTGCTTTCAGACGAATTTAACAGAATTAAATGTACAAATGTTGACGTTTTGTGTATTGGGGTCCAAGAAAGGAAAAACCAGCAAATCATGATACGTTATCGCGGCAAAATGTCAAGCAAATTATTTTTCTGCACAGTTAAAAAAAATTAGCACTTCAAATGGAAACAATGTGTATAAGTCAAAGGTGTATTTTTATGTTGAGTTTACACTGATTTTTTTTTTCTTTGAAAGCGATGGAAAAACAAGTATCAACAAACCAGTCGAGTACGTAGAACCTTCGTGAGCCTGCATGAGGGTCGCCGAGTTCCCGTTTCTTCCTCATCCAACGCTTTTTCAAGCTCTATTTTCAGTTTTTTTTTCTTTTTCGTCGATTTTGTCAATGTAGCAGGCTCTACCAGGCTTCTCTCTCTTACCATGCTGTTTTGTTTATGAAAACTAGGCATGCGTGCATAGCATGGAATGTGGAACCCCGAACACGTTGCGATGTATATATTTATGTCCCATAAATAACTATTAATTTTAATGAAATAATCAAAATTATTTAATTGTGAAAGTTGTAATTTTCTGAAAGTTTATACTTTTATGAGTTGTAAAAAAAATTCCAAATCTTGTCGGAAAATTTTATCAAGTCAGTTTTTTGATGAGATGCGCCGTACTGTCACTTTAGTCATATATTCTCATAGATACGATATCAAACTTAAATGTATAATAATATAGTTTTCTGTTTTTGATTTTTCAATTTTGCTTTGCCAAACAAGGTAAAAGACCATGAAACAAAATCTGAATGCATACATTTGTACATTTATTTTCTCATACACAAAATGACAAATGAATCTCGTAACAAATCTCGGAGACATTTGCTAATAAAAGGACATGGTACCAATTTCATTTTCTTGACTAGCAATTGATTACGTAATGTTTGTCCCCCTGTCCCCCTCCCATATATATATATATATATATATATATATATATATATATATATATATATATATATATATATATATATATATATATATATATATATATATATATATATATAGTGTTATTTATATTTTCCAAAGATGAATCCTCATCCTTTTATCGCTGTGAATCAAATGATTAGAGAAGTAAAATTAATGGCAGACATATGTTTATGGTTTTCTCGTTCATTTTGAGGTTGACTAACAACGAAAAAGTATCGGTTTTATACTGATTGAACATCAGTCAATAGATCAACATGCAATATATGTATTGATACAATTATCGCTACATCGATTACACGTTTCTTTCTGCAAGAGCCTAATTGGAAAGGTGATGCATGCATGTACATGCAACAGAAAGAATAAAAATGATAGCCTATTAATACAACAAAATATTATTATGGACGAAAAAAAATCCAAAAAACGGCGTCATTGCTTTCAAGAAAAATTATACGATGAGAAATGAAGGACCGTATCGTTTATTACAAGAATTTTAATTCGTAATTTGTAAGATGAAGAATGATATGATCCCCTCTATATAAATGAGGTGGCCTTCAGCTTTTTCTTGGATCCGCCTACAAATAATGAATCCTCACAGTTGATTTGCATCTTAGCTTTCCTTTGACGTATGTTCAGAATTCTTCTTCTTATTTTTTTTTTTACTTATAGCTTACTATGTATGGTGTAATTTTGAAAAGTTTATATACATAACAACACATTACAACGTGTTCATCGATGTGTCTGATTTTTTTTCCTTTGTCATCCAGGGCGTTGCTTTCTAATTTTAGTTCTAATGTTTAAGAGTGTGACAGTATAATTGATCAATTGTCAATTATTTTCCTCATTTTAAATTTGCACTTTAAGTTTCCTGGTTTATGTTCATTAAGACTAGACACATGCAATAAGGATTCGTGATATCATGTTTTTAAGTGGAAAGGGAACAAAACACCTGTCTTTTTGAAAACGACTTCAATTGTTTTATAAAGCAAATTTTTGAAATTGTTTTTTAACACATTTTTACTTAAATCTTTGTTTTATATAGTCTTTAATACAGATTTTTTGTTTTATTTTTCATAAATCTAAATATAACACGTTTGGCTGACTCACCAAGTAATCGCAAAAAGTCAAAAGAAATGGGGGGGGGGGGGTATTTTTTATTTGATTTCGAGTGTTTTCCCTTTCTTAATATCCAAACTTATTTCATTGATCGTACACGTAGCGGAATCCTTTGTTTGTTTTTGTTTGAAGTTTTAATTAAAGTTAAAAATCTTGTAATGTCAAATAAAAGGAGGGTGAAAGCATTATTTATTATAGATGATTTTTCATTTCTTTATTATTTCAAGAAAAAAAACCCCAGTTAATAAATCCAGGAGAATGGTCAACCTATGATATCCATACTACAATTCAACGTTCTTTATCAGCTTTCTCAGTGGAATTGATCTCTATCTATAAGTAGAGCTCATTCTTTCTCATTGAATAAATTAAGGAAGAAAAATAAAGCTCCGTTTTGATACGTCTGACTCTCTCCGTTACTATAATAGGCAGTCGGCCTTTACATGTGGCTAAAAGAAAATTACCGCCACTTGAAATGGAAACCGCAAAATCCGCCTCTTGAAATGTTCCAGTCATCAATATTAGCACTATGCAGCACAGCGTTGGCGGTTTGTAATCACTACAAGTTTTGATAGACCGTTATTCATACGCCCCAATTTACAGAAACGTTTCATGTGTATGTTGTTTTCACTAGCATGTCGCGCCCAAACTTCCTCATTTCATATCATAACAGGGCTTCATGATTTAGGATTAAATGAGCTAATGATGTTCTATATTATGGAGTGATTATTTCAGATTTCATTATCAAAAATGGGTTATTGGTTCAATTTAAGACTCGATTCATTGTTTCTGACGAGTTCTGGCAGTGTAGGAAATGTGATCTGGATGTTGATTGCTGTTTTTACTAAATCCTGTTGGAGTTTTAACATTGATGTTACACGACCTCTTGTCTATAAGGGCAATAATGGAACTAATTTCGGAGCTGCCGTGGATTTATTAAATAATACTGATGGAAAATGGTGGGTATTTAATTAATGTGCATAAAAAAGCTTTATTTATGATTAAATTCTGATAAGAAGCTGGTGATCACATCTCTCTCTCTCTCGTTCTGTCTCTCATTTTCTCCCATTTCAGTGATTCATTATTGGTCATATCATGCTGACGAAATCTCTCTCTCTCGTCTTTGAATCGCTATTGCTCATACAAAACTGATGAACTCTTTCTCTCTCTCGTCTTTGAATCGCTATTGCTCAAACAAAACTAATCTCTCTCTCTCTCATGAGTATAATTGGTCAAGTCTCCCTCTCTTTCTCTCTCTTTCAGTGAGTCAGCTATTGCTCATATCAAACGCTTTTTATGACCTGATCAGCGTGCTAAGATCAATATAAACCCAGACACAGCTAGCGTTCTGTAAATATCTGAATATGCCCTGAAACGTTTATCCTTTTGAATGCCGTAGTAATGTTATACAGATTACAATTATTATGAAGCTGTTCTGCATTAACAGTCTTCCTTCTACTGGCTTTATTTTAACTGGTTATTTTTAATGACTTTTAATGAGGGCAAGGATCGTCAATACACGATATTTAGAAGTGTCTATACTTCATGGGCCACTATTTAATAATTAATTCACGCGCTTCCCTCCACGAATCGGGTTCATTCTGTTCGAAGAGCAGTCCATTTTGATCGTAAAATCCTCCTTGCTCTATTAAGTGCCTCCTTCGAAACTGTTGCGCTATTACGTGACGCATTAGAGGGTTTGTGATATTATACACATGAACTCAGCATATACGTAATTTGTGTGTACTTGACTCTTGACGAGTTAAAATATTCACAATCAAAAAATAGCCTTTACTGCATGTGCATTTTGACTCCCATTTTTGCGCTTTCTGTGTTTTAAAAGGTCAATAGGACAACCTCTATTTATTAACGCAGTTACCTCTAAAACATACATGATAATTTTCTGCAGTTAACTGTACATGTATGTCCAGTAATCTTTAATAATAGAATGCTATGACAATTTTGTGCGCATTCCAGTTCACGGAATACTTGCACAATACACATGACCTTGCACTGTTTACTGAAATAGAATGTTACTATATGTACATGTATGTATAATACTTTGTTACTGAAGTATATAAAAATATCAAGTCGTGCTTGATAGGATATTGATCTAGTAGGAAAATTCAAAACTAAATCTGTTTATTCAATCTTATCCGGTGGCTTCGATGTTTATTTAATAGATGAAAATATAGTACTTTACTGGGCAAACATGTCAAATGGAGTTTATCTTAAATATCATTTTCCGTTTGACGCATCCGGCCGATCTTCTGTGCATGAGTTATAAATGAGCTTGTTATTCGCCATCCTTTGTTACAAGGCAAAATTGATCGCGACTTGATTCACCCCTGAATCTGAATTTATCGGTTAGTACATCTATATGCACTGGATATAACTGAGTCAAGCAAAGTGAATAAAAGGAGAAAGGAGGGGGGGTAATTAAATGAAGAGTAAGACGTCCCAAACTCTTGCAATTTTTCGCTAATTCAGTTTTTAAGAATAATAGAATTACTGTTGAAGATGCTTTGAGAAAAGAAAATAAGGGGGGATGGGAATAAAAAAATGAATAAAACAAAATAACCAGTGCAAGGATATGCACGTCTAAATTTTTTTTCACTGCGGCATTTCGTAAATTTCCGCAACAGTTAATTAGATTTCATAAAAAGTTTTATTTGTCTTTAATGCACTTGCATGAAGCCTTTTAAATGCTATAATCAGATATTGTGAATTCACTTCTTGGCTTAGTGTAAATATCTTTCAGCTTTATTAGTTTTTTTTCCTCGTTCAATGAGATATTCGAGTCTCTATATTCAACGTTGTCCTTAATATTTCTTCTTAAAAGCTATTAATTGCATACGAAAGCCCATTGAGCTCATTTTAGTAGGTAAAAAAAAAATATTTTTCGCGTTATAACGCGAAACTTTCGCGTTATAACGCGTAACTTTCTCGTTATAACACGTAACTTTCGCGAATAAGCGCGAAACTTTCGCATTATAACGCGAAATTATACATATATAGTCAAGTTACTCAGGAACCTGTGATCTTGACTGACTGATAAAAAACATGAACGCAGAGGGGGACTTCTATGAATTTATAAATGACATTTCTTCAGAAGATGTAAAAGAGAATTGATGCGAGAAATGGATAGATTAGTGTTGATTTTGCATTTAATCTCAAAACCCTACTAATTAATTAAATGAATATTCCTTTAAAGATTTCCTTGTTTTTCACTTGTTTAATCAAAGAAATTCTGTAGACTATTTTTTATTTCTCAGGAAGATCTCCACTCGTTGCTTTCTTTGAATAAATTGTCAATGTGTTCGTAAGTAATGGTATGACCAAGTGGTGCAACCTTAAAATACAATGTTGTATTTCTACAGTGAGTCTATCGGAGATGAAATATTTGATACGAATATTTGTCATCCAATTTTCACATTAGGTTACTCATGTGATGTGACACAATTCTTCCGTGAAATACAAATTTACCTCATTGTTGTCAATTTTCTGAGATCTTTTATTTCAAATTCTATACAGAGTGTTCAATCTAATTAAAATTAGACTTGTATTTTCGCTCCTCTACCATAAGCTTCAACACTTGTATTGAACAGCATTGAGACGGACAAAATGTGACGGCAAAAAAGATTTAGAAAGAGGAAAGACACATTCAATGGCGAGAAAACATAAAATTTCAGCTCGTGATAATCCAAGTTCAAAATAGTCTTTCGTTTTTCACTGAAATGAATAAACTAGATCATTAAAAAGTAAAACAAACTGTAGAGTTATGCAAATGTCTCTGTTTTACAGGGAAAGTTTCGCGTTATAACGCGAATGTTTCGCGTTTATTCGCGAAAGTTACGCGTTTATTCGCGAAAGTTTCGCGTTTATTCGCGAAAGTTTCGCGTTATAACGCGAAAAATAAATTTTTTTTATCTACGAAAATGAGCTCAATGGGCTTTCGTAATTGCATATATATATATTAAGAAATTGTTCTATTTGGGAATTCCCCGGTTGTTATTTTTTTGTAATTTTTTTTTTTTTTTTTTTTTTTTTTGTTTTGAAAATCGAAACTATATGTACATGTGTACGTACTTTTTAAAGACACAAATAACGAAACATTTTTTGACGGGTCCCCAGTATTTTATTATATAAATATATACAATGGGATTGGATACATGTTCTAAAATAACTCATCGCACCCTCTCCCTACATGTAATTTCACAAAAATTGAAATAATGTGGACAACAGTTTCTGCAGAATAAAATATCAACATAGTAATATATACTGCTAAATTATGTCGATACACAATTTCTTATATAAGAATAATCAATTGAGTCTACCAGAATGTTAAAAACATGAATGTACAACCGAAGAAAAGATTTTCATTTTCAGCAATACTAAGTGACGTATCCCCCAGAGTATAGTACACGTATGTGTGTCAACAATATGAACTATTAAATCTAAAAAAAAAACCCAAAAAACTCAGGCCTCAGTTCTACAAAAAGTTTTCTTTCTCTTCCAAAGGGATACCCCCTCTATTTTTTTAAAACTAAGACAAATTTTTTAAGGTGCTTTACATCAAGGTCATATTAGAATATTATGCACTACATCATAAAAACTAGAATTACGTTTATGTATTTGAAGTACTTCCTTTTTTAAACCAAGAAGTATAAAGCGTCTTTGTAACAAATCATGAAAAAGAAATAAACAAGGCTAACTTATATATCTGATTTAAAGTCTTCTTCTTGACAAATGAAAATGAAATACCGTAATAGTTACACAATAAAATTTCCTTGAGAGAGAAGATTGAAATACATGTACATGCACGTTGTGTCTGCATGCTGCCCAATTCTATTCAATTCTGTGAATAAAATATTGTTTCAATTAATTTTCATCATATATGCAATTAACAAAGTATCTTTCATCAAAACTTTCCTAATTTTTCCGTTTTTAAATGTGCATCACTCTAGCCTATACATGATGTTGCATGGCCTCGGGAACAAGGGAGGGACAGGGCGTTTCCCTCTCCCAATAATTTTGCCGATATATATAGTATACAATAGAAAATGATAATCTAGTTACTTTATGCTAGTGTCCCAAGTTTTGCTTGGTAGTGCCCCCTCCCTCAACTGAAATGCCCCCCCCCCCCATGAATTGCTTTCTACAAGCCTGGATTGTAAGTTGAGCAAGCTCAAACCCGCACTACAGTTAAACTTAAAGTGAAACATTTTGGCCGCCTCAGTCTGAATTGAAGAGTCTTATAAATAAACCTGATTTGAGTAGATTTGACCCTGAACTGTTTCGACCCTATCATAGCTCGGAAGAACTGTTCATTTACTTTTTGTATATCAATAAGAAATCTGCACTATGACCAAGAAGCTATACGTCAAAAAGACAAAACTATGTTAATCTGATCTTTAAATGTACTGAATACACAAAAGTGTTTATATTAAGTTCTTTTATAAGCAATGATTCTTCGATTCAGGAAATGATTCTAACTTATTGAAATGAATCAAAGAGTCGCTAAATTTAAAAGTTGTTGGACTGTATACAGAATATTTTGATATCCTCAGTTGTAACAAAGCCCAATATAACGAGGAATGCTGCATTGTACCCATTTTTCTTAGGCTAGGGTGAATTCAATTTGACGATTCTTTCATTAAATTCAAAGGATGACTGCACTTAAGGACATGCGAAAATTGCGACAAAATAAACTTTCAAAACAAGCATTTTTCTTTTAATTGCACGAATGGTCAACATCTAATCTACAACTTTATGTAATTACATTAAATAAAAGTACGTATTTACGAAGTACGAAGCTGTTTTCTAAGGCGGGGGTCATCACAATTCCTTGAATCTCCGTACGATAGTGAAGACGCCCACTTTTCCACTGACTTTATACATAGTCAGCGCATGTTTGTCTATTGTTCTCGTTTAACAGTAGTTGTATATTTGCATTAACATTGTGTCAAAAGGAGATTAATAGACAAACATGCGCTCATGGTTTAAACGAGAAAAAACTGCTTCTTCTTACATTTGCTCTCACTATTGTAACCAAGAGCTGTGACATGTTGAATATTATAATTCACCACGTGATTTCTTACCTCAGGTAACTCTGTGAATACTAAATTCCGTCACGTGACTTGTAGAGTAGCATGTTTTGTGCTAACTAGGACAATGTACTCGAAAACGTTAAATTGTTAGGCATTGGTTTAAAAGATTCTTAACTTACATGGACGTCGCTCATATTGTTAATTTCGTTTTTGAAACCTCTGAAAATACTGTACTTGTGCCATACAGAATAAAGAGGGAATGGGAAAGAGTGATCTCGTATTTTTTTAATACATGTCATTGTTATTTATCTAGTCTAATTTTAGACCCATTCTTACAATATTAGCTCCACCTCTCATGCATACCTAATGTTTAATCAAGGGCAGGTAAGTGTAAATTCTCTATATTTGGAAAGCGTACGGACAGAAAACATAGAATCATTTTATTGTATCACAGTCTAAGATCATTTTAATATTTGAATTCGATTCGAAATTGACAGGATTCTTTCATAAATATATAAAAATGAAATAAGATTATGATATAAAAGCAACAGAAGCGACCGAAAAAGACCCAAAACCCGGCGTTAAGTGCAGTCATCCTTTCAGCTATTTTCCTGGGAAGTCTACGTCAGATTTTAGGGAAATCTGATAATGAGCATATATTGATTGTATTAGTATATAAACCTGACTAAGTAATGCAGTTTAATGTCTTGGATATGCATGTACTATACAAATATAGCCTTTTTATGAGGTCGATACCTTGATATATCGATTTCACAGAATATCGATCGAGCACGAAGTCGATACATGTACATGCATATCTAAGAATTGACAGAATAAGAGGGCTACAATTGTTATATTGTATTTTTTTTTTTAAAAGTTTGACAAAATTTGAAAATAATATGATTATTTACTCTCACATTGCAATTTTACTTCTTTATAGATAGAAATTTTAAATGCTGTCCATGGCCAAATTCTATTTTATGTTTAACGTCTTTCGCGCAGGTTTACGAGAATTTGCTATTTTTTTTTTTGGGGGGGGGGGGCAATCGGAATCCTCTGTAGAAAAATTATTGTAGTTTTTTTTTACCGTTAGATACTAAACACTGCATTCCATAGGAATAGAAATATTTTTTGAAGTATATTTGGCATACTCTATATGAGACTACTTTTCAAATTAAGATTTTTATTTAAATTTAAATAAAAATCATTTAACAATAAACCTATATTAACATCTACGTACTGTATATGTTACTCTGATTTCTTTTTTCAAAACTTTGATTCATGAAATTTTGTTTGTTTCTTCTAACTCCCCCATGGATTTTGATTTTATTTTTGCATGTAGTATACATGTATTTAGTATATATTACATTAAACGCAGATCTAGAATTAATATAATACATCCTTTTAAAAAAAAATATGCAGTTTTTATTACAATGCTTGTGTTTCTTTTTTACACTGATGAATAGTTAAGGGAATATACTAAATTAAAAGGCTACATTTTTAAAAATTATTTTTTGTATCAACATAAAAATCCTCTAACAGCTAAGATATACTTCCATTACAGAATAGGTCTTTATTCAAGGCATTGTTACGTCATCTGTTTTTAGAAACATCAAGTTGATATGCTTTTTTAATCTTAAAAAAACATCCATGCAGTCAATATGCTGTTTTATACTTGATCATGTGATCTAGTTTCCTCCAATCAGAAGTTTGGAATGATGGAGAAAATGGTAGATGTGTACATCAAGAGCACGGATTATATTGACCTGTTCTTTTTTTTTTTTTTTTTTTCAATTTTCCAAGATATACAATATAATACTAATAGTGATAGCTAGACGAGAAATATAAAAGAGGACCTTCGAAACTAAAAATAAAATGTCGGTTTCATACTTCCTTCTTCTAAATTTGACTGATTTATCCGAAGATCAATCTTATAAAAAAATGTTGATTTGTGTAAGTGGAGAGGAATAACCCTAAGTTTGACACAAAAACAACACAGTGATTTATTGACTATAAGTTAATACTCTTGTAGAGATATTTACTACATTACACAACAAAAAGCGATTTATCAAGATGCTATAAAATACATTTTCATTGTAATGCATTCTGCCGATGTATCAATGCAAAGGATATACATGTATTGGGGACTATGCAACACGCACTGATTTTCTACAAACGATATTTACTGCATTCCGCAACGCACTAGTTTATCAAGACGTTATTATGCATGCAGCTGCATTCTACATCATATACCGATCATCAAGAAACGTGGAAACAATATTTTATTTTACTGCACTGCAAAACGCACAGTAATTTCTTAAGACGCATACAATTGTATTCTGCATCATGATATCATAATATCGATTTATCAAGAAACGAGTGCAAACAATATTTACTGCACAAAGCAACACACACTGATTTCTCAAGTCGCATCCAACTGCATTCCACATCATATACCGATTTAACAAGACGCAAGTTCATACAATATTTACTGCACTATATGCAACACGCACTTATTTCTCAAGACGCATGCAACTGCATTCAACATCATAAACGGATTTATCAAATATTAGCTGCAGTTCAACACACAGTTACATTTATTGTGCATGACGCGTTTAAAGATACTATATGCACTGATACAGTAAATAATATCATCTTATTTTGGACCTACAGGGGTGGAATGGGGGGTCCCACGGGATTTTCAGAGATATTAAATTTCTATGTAAAGTAAAGGAAAACTGATTTAGGACCCCCTACGAAACTCGAACCTTTCGTACTATATGTTAAGGAGAGTCATGCATCTGAGGAAAATGGAGTTAAGAATGTACATGTACACCTGTAATCCCCCCCCCCCTCGCATCCCAACCGCACCAACACCACGAAATAGGATTTCAGACTTGGGCAATTTTACGTTAGTTTGTTTATTTGCTTATTGTTTTTATTTCATTTCTTTTTTTTTTGGGGGGGGGGGGGGCTTGTCAAAAAATTACGAGTCCGATATTTGTTTGAGTTGGTGTGGAACTCCAACAACCAACCAACCCCCCATCCCCCCCCCCCCCTGGAAAAAAAAGAATCGTGGATCCAAGCATGTATTTACATGATAGATGTACGTGTACATGTAAAACAAATTCATTCCCTTTTCATGAAACCAGTACTTACTTTTGTCTGTATTTAGAATATTTATAGTTTTACATATCGTAGAATATTACTCTGGAAGAGGAAAAAGGGGGGTTATGTCTGTAACACAAAACATAATCGTAATGTTGATACAACAACAACAAAATAATGCTCCTATAAAACTTTATTTTGGAAAGGGAGATTCAACATAAATGTTTATCATTATACTAGTATTGAAAAAAAAAAAAACAACAACAACAACAAAATAATGTTCGTATGTCCTTCATAACAGCCCTTTATGGCTCATAATCTTAAGGAACATTTTGCTTTTTACAGATCTAGAGTATTCAATTTTTGACTTTTTCTTTCCTGCAGGCTCTTAGTTGGTGCACCACTTGATTCATTATCCTATGCAAAAAATTACAGTCAGACAGGCAACGTGTTTCTGTGTCCTGTACAAGTCCAGATAAAATTAACAAATCTCACTAATTGCACAGAAATAGGACTAACAGACTTAAGGAAAATTGGTAAGTGATTTCGATATGTCTCAGGAAAATCTTTATAAAGTTCTGTATGAAATATATGGAGATAAGGAACAGTGTTCAAGCTCAAAAGTCCATTAAACAATACAAATTTTGGAGCAGAGCAAACACGGACCTCTAAAACACCAGAGGTGGGATCAGGTGCCATGGAGGAGTGAGCATCACCTGCCGTGTGCTTCTTGTCATGATCGAAAAAAACCCCCAGAAAAATCCGTCGAAAATTCAGTGTGTAAATAATGGCCCAATAATTAGTATGAAAAACATTGTACTTAATCATAAATTGTTTTTGCTGACAAGGTCATTGTATCGACCACAGAACTTATGAAATGACGACTTAAAACGAGACTGGTGATATTCTTGTTTCATCAACTTGTTTGTCAATAGCTTACCTCGTTTTAAAAATTGTTCATACGTAGAGCATGCTCTTGCATATTGAATCAACTGAGAGATATAAACCCCGTATGCAGGTGATGAAAGTATATTGCTGCATAAGTAAGGGGAGTTGACGATTGAAAAGTTAAAGTCATCAAGTTTATCATAAAGCTTTGTTGTTAGATTACAATTAACGTCTTTTTCTAGTAAAATATCCAAATATGAAACAGATGTGTCAGACTCTGTGGTATCTTTTATAGTTCTTAATGAAATATATTTGGTCTTATTAATAACAAATGATTCCAATCAGAGATAATACATGTATAAGCCGTCAGGTCCCATGCATCAGTAGATGCATGCTGGCATAAAGAAAGATTCCTAACTGTTAAATGGTCATTATAGCCTTCCATCTCAACGGGTAGCGTCCCATCATATGTGACATATTCTCGAAGGGACGCAAAGCAAATTTAAAATAAAAGAAGCCTGGTTTAATTTAAGTTTATAGCCAATTGCAATATCAAAATTACATTTTACTCTTGTTTTAATTTTTATTTCATTGACTTGTCTCCAAATCAAAAAGCTTATATATACCAATCTAATCTTTTCCATGGATTTCACAGAATTTATTTTTTAAGTTTCTAAAAATCTGTTAATGTTAGACAGAAACAATTTGACATGGTGAAAAAGAACATTCTTTCCAACTTGTGTAGGAGGTGATCGTTATCCGAGTCTGTGCTTGTTACTTTCCATGATAAGATGTAATAAATAACGGGATATCGTCATGATTTCTACTAAACATATTTTATATCTATATCCTTTATTAAAACATTTGGCTTTAGGACAGACGATACGTTCCTCTATAATATATATTTTTTCTCAAGATTTTGTCATTGGAGTATTGCTACTTTAACATGTTTACTCGCAAAAAAAAAAAAAAGAATGAGGTACCTTACCAGGCATTTGTGCAAGATACCAGAGGGTAGTTTTTTCCTTGTTTAATCCATTTGGGAAAAAAAAAATATTTGCCAATATCAAATTTTTTAGTGTTTGGATTTCTTAATAACGATTAGAAACTGGTTTAGAAATCATACATTACGAAGATATACATAACAGATATTTGAAGAACGTATTAAGTTAGGGATAACATTAGAGATTTATCGTGCAATTGATACCTTGTTAGCGAAAGAAACATGCGGTTCAGGCGAGGCCTCTGCAAATTAGTCCCATATTTAAATATGCCTAGAGTCTTTTTCTAGAGGAGTTTATTTTCGTTTTAACATATATTTCAATATACATATGTAGAATTTTTTTGTTCAACCTTTAACTACTTTTATTTTTAAATTTGATTTTTTTTTCAAAATGAATGAATAAAATGATTAATTTCAATACTCTGTTTCAATAGAATTATATTTAATTAAAGTTGGTTTCCCAAATATTCAAATTATGCTTTTAAGACATAGAGTCTTGAATTTTGAAAACGGTTCTTGCCACTTTCCTGTTTTCTTCATTGCTGCAAAGGTTAATAAGGGGATTCTGAACACATTAAAAATGCTATTTTTTCAATCTTTCCATGGCTACCATGACACATGGTAACCATTTTTTTTTTTTTTTTTGCCTAATGTAAGTTTATGATGTATCAAAGACTTTCATCGGTCATAGCCAGTTTCTGGGACTATGCGTGCCATAGCTCCTATGAAAGACTTCAAGTCATCACAGAGAATAGCTTAAAAATTACAGATCAAAAAAGGATTTGAGAACAAGACTGATTCTAGAATTTCTAATCCTACCAGCTCTTTCCGTCTGATGAATTCCCCCTTTCAAATATCAAACAAAATGTAAAGTGAAACAATTGTAGACAGTGGAATACTCAGTGTTTCAGAAATATCACCAGTTTAACAATTCTTTGAATAATACATACCTGAAACAGACTTGCTGTTTTCAGAAGCAATCATAATGAACATTAGCAACTGACAAGAAGAACACAAAGTAAAATGTACAGTGTAGGTAATTTATCGCAGTAACATAAGAAAGTAGGAAGTATTGTCCTTTAATAGAAATAATAAATATTTCATATTTACCATATTTTGGCGGGAAAAAATCTCTCAATAATTATTAGGAACGCTATATATATGTTCTAAGTCTGAATTCGTCTTTTTTTTTTCTTAGTTTCTCATGAATCCAGACTGGGCGCAAGTTTAATGGTTTTAGACGATACTACTCTCGTAAGTAAACCTGTATTTTACGTAGATCCAAGATTAATTTCATTAATTTAGATAATGTCAGTAAAATTCATCCACAGTTTTTTTTTTCTGGCAGATCGTTCAAAATTCAATTGCGTAATCTTTTCCATTTTCCCATAAAACATGAAATTAATACAAATAATATTTATGTGAGTAAGTTCTTTTTTCAGCAAGACTAAAAAGATTATGCTGTAAATGGATTATTACAATAATTCAAATGTTAATTTTCAAAGACCATATGTTTGGGAAGCAGTAGCAAGTTAATAAGCATATTAATATTATTGTTAAAAATACTTTTATTTCAGGTTTGTGCCCCAGGATTTAAAAATGTATACAAGCAAAATGCCACTTCCGGTGCATGCGTATACTTTAAGAATAATGACATTTCTGATATATCCGGTCTGCTTATTCGAATTACAAATAATGACTCGAAGTTCTCCTGGTCCATGTTTGGATTTTCCATGGCGCCTGGAATAGTAAGCCTTCCTCTCCTTCATTTTCTTTTCAAGCCTTTGGAAAAAATATATTTGTACATTTTTCAAGAAAGTTGAGCTGCAACAAATTATCATCGTGCAGCACAGCATCAAGTCCGATAGGTGACAGACTATTAATGTCATAATGCAATTTTTAAACTAACAAATTAATACTCTGATGCCTGATCATGTGACTTTGATTTATGTAAAATATACAATTATACTGGTAATGATTTTGACGATATAAAGCTTATCTTTATTTTGAACAGAATGAAACATTTCCTTACACTGTTGGTGGGCCAAACAGCGGACATCAAGGTATGTCTATATTAATCAGAAACTGTAATCATAATTAGTCAATTAGTTCTTAATAGTAATTCATGAATAATACATTAACAGTGATTAGTCTATTAGCTACTAACAATTATTACATATGTGTGAATTGGTCAATTAGTTATAGAACATTAATAAGAAAGTACAAATCCAGCAGCTCTTTTTATCTATAACCCCCCCCCCCCCCCCAGGAATTGTATACTTATTTTTATTCACGTTTATGTAGATATCTGAATTAGTTCTTTTTTAGTTTTACCTTAGAGTAGTTTAGAGTTGTTTTGAATAATTGTATTCAATTTCAGTGAGATATTATTCTAGTCCGAATCTTATAAAACATTCGCAAGAAAACTTAAGTAATTTCAGATGCAAAAAATCTATATGAATGAAAACACTCACTGTTTGAAAAACTCTTCGTTAAGGACAGATGATACAAACAAATTTTTTCTTTGGAGGAGACTTAATATCATGTCACAGCTTTAGAAAAGTGGACAATTTTATTTTTTTTCCTTAGACTTGGAGAATGAAACACTTTCCATATTTCCCCCCAAAATTACAAAACTAGAGTAATCATGGTAAAATTATTTAATCTTCATTCATTTACCCTCTTTTTTCTTCAAAATGTTTCTAAAGGAGCAAAGAAAAAATTCAAAGAATTATCCACTTTTCTAAAATTGTTTCATGATATATATTAAGTCTCCTCCAAAGAAAAAAAAAATATTTGTATCATCTGTCCTTAAGTGAAAACGCGAATTTTTAATGCGTTATGTAAGATTTCAATTCTTCCTTGTGAAAGAAAAAGTGACACACTACTTCAAGTTTATGTAATGGTACTTCTTATGAAGTAGATATTGTTCAACATCTTAAGAAATAAGATGAACGGGATATTCTTATACATTTTATTTAGGTCTTCAAAGAAACAATGGACTGTGCCAATCTGTTTAATATAATTCAAAAACCATCAACTCCAAAAATAAACTAAATTTAACAAACCCCCACTGTATGTCATTTCGCAGAATTATTTTCAAAAGAAAATTTGCTTATCTTTTGCAGGTACACATTCTCTATATCTGGAATCTTTCCACTTTTCAATGAATTGCTCTTTCTCAGTTATATTCACCACTGGACTTTCGCGAGAAGCGCTGACTTTTACAGTCGACGGCTTACTTTAACATTTAGACCTGCGTTATGTACGGAGGTACGGAATTGATTACATGTATCTTTAAGGAAACCTTAAAGTGGCTATAGGTATGGTGTTAGTGGCAGTAACATAATTTACCGGTATGCAATCATCACAAGGGAAGTTGGGAGGCAGAATAAAATGACTTAAAATATCTCATTTGTGAAGGGTAGTATCTTCTTTCAATCTCATTGCAAAATTTTGATTAAGATATGTAATACTTTATATTTGAGTCCCCTTTTCTGACCCCCTTTCTTGTATTGTAACTATGTTTTTACTACTTTTCGTCAATAAATGACTTTTTTTTTTTAAACTCAAACAATGTTTTTTGTTTTGGCCTGCTTTAACAAACACAAGCTCAGACAGTCGTTTGGCAGGAGAACTAAGGAACATAAATCTCATTTTCTGAAAGAAACAAATAAGGAAGAAAAACTTGGCAAGAGTTGGCCAACGTGTGAAGGGAGAAGGTCTAGGGTAGCCTAGGGCGATTGCCGTTCCCTTCCTAGACAACATCAATTGTGCTTTGAAATGACCTATTATTATCGTTTAATTAACTGTTAAGCTAAATAATTATTTATATTGCAAAAGAGGGTCCGTATATTGTCCCAGTGTTACTGTAAAAGTAAGCCGTCGATTGTAAAAGTCAGCGCTTCTCGCAAAAGTCCACTACTACTAACATACTTATAGACCAATATTGCCATATTCAACTCATTAGGTGCCACCCAAAAAAAAAAACCCAACTTAAGAACCCATTTTTTCATATTCGAAATTACATACTAATCGAAATAAACACATCATATACTCATAGGATAATTTGTCTTTTTTGTCTTGATGCACTCAGTATAAAAAGAAACAAATACAATAGTCTTAACTTATTCATGTTAACTATACCTAAAAAAAATTAAACTCGTTATCAAGATTGAAATCCGTCGATTTAAAAAAAAAAAAAAGAAAGAAATTCTTCTTTGTTGCAACATTGTTGAAAAATACGCAACTCCTTGAAAGCGGGTTATGTTACTAGTTTTTTCTGTGATTCATTGCAATTAACAACGTTTAGTAAAAGAAAGAAAGACATTTCCTTAATATTTATGTCTACCATAAGGTGAATCATATAAAGTTGTTGAAAATGCGTAAAAATCTTTTAGGCATCATTGATGGAAACAGTGAAGATAACGAGCAGTGATCAATTTAAAAAAAAAAAAAAAAAAAAAAAAAAAAAAAAAAAAAAAAAACTACAAACAATGCTAATCTGTGACCAGGGCATGAAATATATGAAGATAATGAACAGTATTCAGGCTCAAAAGTCCATCAAACAATACAAAATAGGAGCAGAGCAAACACGGACCTCCAAACATCAGAGGTGGGATCAGGTGCCATGGAGGAGTGAGCATCCCCTGCCGACAGGTCACACTCGCCGTGTGCTCCCTGTCATGATCGGGAAATAACGGAAAAATCCGTCGACAATTCAAAACACGGACCACGGGAAAATTTAGTTGGGATCAGGCCCCAGGATCATGAAACATCTTACGCTTAGGCCAACTTTAAAATAATGTTTGCTTGCCCTCTCCCGACTCAGGATGAAAATATTGAGTCGGTAGGTAGGTGAGAATTTTTTTTTTCAAAGAAAATTTCAAAATCAATGCTGAATTTTTAAAATCTATTTTCCGGAATGCATAAAATTAAAAATAATAATTCCTTTCTGGAGGATAAAAAAGTTTTGAGTCGGGCCATTTTTAGCTAGTCGGTCGGGAGAGGGCAACCAAACAATTTTTTAAAGATGGCCTTAAGTCAAAATTTTTATGTTTTGTTAAAACATTGTAAAATGTTGTAGAGGTCAAGCAGACCAGACTTTAACTAATTTTCAATATTGCTTAACAAAAGTGTTTGTATCTGCAAATTTAGAGATTACATGTAATTCAATAATTATTAAACATTTTAAAGGCAATAAAAGAATTTGACTTAAGGACACAGGCAACGTAGTTTGAACTTTATTGTCTTTTTCCCTGGAGTTGAAGAGTTCCAATACTTAAAGGAACTGTTTGCTACATTTTAATGTCTAAATATGCTGTTGTACACTTCTTCTAAAACAAGTTTGGATAATCAAAACATCTAGAATATATGTTTCGTAATTTTTGTGTATTTTTCTTTGAATTATACAAGAATTTTCATCAATTAATATCTTTTCAAAACCCCTGGTAATGCATGCTGATTTTTTGTATATGAACATCTGATGACACTATAATCTTAAATTAAGAATATCTTGAAAAATTATCAGTAGGTAAGGTACGTTGCGTATGTCCTTAAGTCTAAGTCTATTTCATGATCCTGGGGCCTGGTGCCCAGGAAGAGTATGCAGCCATAAAACAGTTGACCTATAACACTTTGTAGCTTCTTATTTAATTAAGTTACTAATGACTTAAAAAATTCTAACTAGATTAAAAGCAAATTTCATTGTTCCAGAAAACAGCAATTTAATTTTCATAGGGGAAAAGGAATATATTTTGTGCATTTTCATTTTCAGTCTTTGTACTTTAAATATACATGTATTAAGTAGATAACCTGGTAGCATTTCATCTTTTGTCTCTCGAAGTATTGACTTTCGCTTTTAGAAATACAATAAGCCCAACGCAAACACTTAACATTTACTGTGCAAGCGCAATTAGTGCATACATTCTTCGCAGGAAATTAGATCGTCCTATTTTATAACTGTGTTGCTTTGCCGAGCCCTTGACCTGGAAAAGTTCTCCTTTGACGGAAAGATAACTTGTATAATTATAACAACACTTAATAAACTTTTTAAATTGCATGGTTCTTAATAGCAACATGTTTTTCTGTCTATCCATTTCATTCTCTCTATCTGAAACCAGACGACTCCCATAACGATGCAGGTATGTGCTTTGTTTTATTACAGTTGAGCTTCGTTAATTCTCAAGCAAATCATCCGGATAAATGAAGCGTCCGGAGAAGTATTGTCCGGATTACTGAGGCTCCACTGTACCTTTTTTTCAATGAAAATCCTCCATTTATGCGTGACGATTCCCTTGAATTTTGTTTCTCTTTCTGATTATCAGTTTGGTAAGAAGGTGTCCCATTATCCAATATATAATGCCGCTGAAACTTTATATATCTCATATAATTTCTTTTATTTAGAATTGGTGAATTGCTTTTTTGCTAAGGGATTGCTTCTGTATTTAGTAATAGTCAATTGCTTAAGTAGTTGTTTTCCTTTCATTTTATATTTTGCTTAATGTAACTGGCAAGGATTCCACATTAGAATCTGTATATTACATGGGTTGATTCGAATCACTCGATCCAAAATGGTCAAACAAAAATACAGTGCAAAGCTTTGTCTCTCAAATCTCAAGCAGTATATAAAATTTCAAAGAGAATACTTTATGGAAGAAATAAGGGAGATAAAAATTCAGTCGAATTTTGTTTTCATTTGTGGAAAATAAACTGTAAAAGAAGAAATGGATCAAAGACGTGCATGAAAGAATGATAAAGAAAAACTTCTTGTATTTTTTTGAGTATATATGGCAATGCTTATGGTCAAAATGAAAATAAGATATTTTTAAGTTAGAATTTTATTACTATTTTCTCTGTATAAATATTTTATATAACAGTAATATGAATCCTTTGCAAGAATACGAAGACAGAACAGTCTTAAGGTGACTATGCTTTTTTAGGGAAATTTTTCAATATGTCGTTTTGTAGAAATATGTAGGACACACTTATTAAATGCATCTTACATGATGGATATTTTTTTAACTTCCTGATTAATTCATCATGCTATTTTTGTAATTCTGAACATTGTTTATCGCGATCTCAGGATTATATAATTATAATCAACATGTTCTATAAATGAACTGAACCTTGTTTTCCTACCAGGATAACATGTTCTCTTGCATTTTAGAGCATAAAATATCCCCTGGAATAATCTCGCTTGCATATCAGTAATCGTTGTTTTTCATTTTTCATATAATAATTTAAAACTTGTCAGAAATTATTTTCTTGTTTTCTTGTGGCATTACCTGAGTCAAATTCATTCTCATTGTGAATATCATAATTTGATTCTTTTATTTTGTTGTAAAAAGTTCTTTTGTTCTGATACATGTACACAAAGCTTCTTATGGTATTTAAAAAGTACTGGACAAACTTCAGTAGATGGTCTTGGTATTCAATTTTTATAACTTTACAGAATCCTGCAGTTGATTGTGTTTGGAAACTAATTTAAATGATTCTTAAAGTCATTTATTTTTTTCTTCTTTTTATTAACTTTAAAAGGATATTTTTATTTTGTTTTATTTGTAGAGGGTGGACTGGCCACTTTTACTACGTCCAGTCGAGGATTAACGAGCCGATTTGTAGCAGGAACGACCTCCATTCAACCAGGATCATATTTTGGTAAATATGTACAGAACGACCTTTTTAGAAATTCATTGACGTTGCTTACTTTCAATTCCATATAAGGAATCTAGCAAATGAAACAATTTGTGCACACGTGTCACAACACTTTTTAGCTCACCTGAGCTGAAAGCTCAAGTGAGCTTTTCTGATCACATTTTGTCCGTAGTCCGTCTGTCCGTCCGTCAATCCGTCTGTAAACTTTTCACATTTTCGACTTCTTCTCCAGAACCACTGGGCCATTTTCAACCAAACTTGCCACAAAGCATCCTTGGAAGAAGGGGGTTCAAGTTCGTTCAAATGAAGGGCCATGCCCTCTTCCAAGGGGAGATAATTAAGAATAAGTGAAAATTTGGTGTCTTTTTTTAAAAAATCTTCTTCTCAAGAACCATTGGGCCAGAGAAGTTGAAACTTATGGGAAACCTTCATTACATAGTGTAGATTCAAGTTTGTTCAAATCATGACCCCCGGGGGTCGGGTGGGGCCACAATGGGGGATCAAAGTTTTACATAGGAATATATAGGAAAATTCTTTAAAAATCTTCTTCTCAAGAACAACAAAGCCACAATTAGTCATATTGATACGAAATCATCCTCAGGTAGTGTAGATTTAAATTTGTTCAAATCATGACCCCCGGGGGTAGGGTGGGGCCACAATGGGGGATCAAAGTTTTACATAGGAATATATAGGAAAATTCTTTAAAAATCTTCTTCTCAAGAACAACAAAGCCACAATTAGTCATATTGATACGAAATCATCCTCAGGTAGTGTAGATTTAAATTTGTTCAAATCATGACCCCCGGGGGTAGGGTGGGGCCACAATGGGGGATCAAAGTTTTACATAGGAATACATAGGAAAATTCTTTAAAAATCTTCTTCTCAAGAACAGCAAAGCCATGATTTGTCATATTGATATGAAATCATCCTCAGGTAGTGTAGATTTAAGTTTGTTCAAATCATGACCCCCGGGGGTAGGGTGGGGCCACAATGGGGGATCAAAGTTTTACATAGGAATACATAGGAAAATTCTTTAAAAATCTTTTTCTCAAGAACAACAAAGCCACAATTAGTCATATTGATATGAAATCATCCTCAGGTAGTGTAGATTTAAGTTTGTTCAAATCATGACCCCCGGGGTAGGGTGGGGCCACAATAGGGGATCAAAGTTTTACATAGGAATATATAGGAAAATTCTTTAAAAATCTTTTTCTCAAGAACAACAAAGCCACAATTAGTCATTTTGATATGGAATCATCCTCAGGTAATGTAGATTCAAGTTTGTTTAAATCATGACCCCCGGGGGTAGGGTGGGGCCACAATGGGGGATCAAAGTTTTACATAGGAATAAATAGGAAAATTCTTTAAAAATCTTTTTCTCAAGAACAACAAAGCCACAATTAGTCATTTTGATATGGAATCATCCTCAGGTAATGTAGATTCAAGTTTGTTCAAATCATGACCCCCGGGGGTAGGGTGGAGCCACAATGGGGGATCAAAGTTTTACATAGGAATATATAGGAAAATTCTTTAAAAATTTTCTTCTCAAGAACAACAAAGCCACAATTAGTCATATTGATATGGAATCATCCTTAGGTAGTGTAGATTCAAATTTGTCGAAATCATGACCCCCGGGGTAGGGTGGGTCCACAATGGGGGATCAAAGTTTTACATAGGAATAAATAGGAAAAATCTTTTAAAATCTTTTCAAGAACAGGAAAGCCGTGATTAGTCATTTTGATATTGAAGCATCCCCAAGTATTGTAGATTCAAGTTTGTTCAAGGCATCCTCCAGTAGTAGGGTGGGGCCATAATCGGGGATCAAAGTTTAACAAAAGAATATATATAAGAAATATCTTAAAAAATCTTCTTCTCAAGAACAACAAAGCCATAATTAGTCATATTGATATGGAGGCATCCTTAGGTAGTGTATATTCAAGTTTGTTCAAATCTTGAACCCCCCCCCTCCCTTCCTTCCCCCCAGGGTAGGATGGCAGACATCTTTAAAATTCCGTTTCAAGAACAGCAAAATCATGATTAGTTATATGAATATAGAAGCATCCTCAGAAAGTTTAGATTCAATTTCATTCAAAACATGGCAAATGGGGATAGGTTATGCCTAGAACAGTTGATCAAAGCTTTACGTATGAATATATAGAAGAAGAAATCTGCTGACAAAGAACAGCAGGGCCATATTGACTCAGGTGAGCGTTGTGGCCCATGGGCCTCTTGTTTGTTTAAGGTTCATTATCCCTTTGGTCACTCATTGTGTGTTTTTTCTTTAATGCTATAATTTTCCATAAGAAATCTAATTTATAATAATAAGAATGTAAACAATTTCTGCAAACCTTACGGCAGAAAAATTTGACGGAAATGACATTTTATCTTTGGGATTTTTTATTAAGGAATAATAGACATTTATATCCTAAAGAGAATCATCTCCCTTTTCAGAGTAGCGCTGAACCTTAACAGCTGTGTATATATGTAAATTTTAATAATTTCGACTCTTTTTTTCATTAAAATAGACAAATGAGTGAAAATTGTATACTCAAAGATAATTATCTTCTTTACAATCGACTATGGTTCTATGTCGTGCTTTTAATGTTAAGCAAGCCTTGACAGTCAACAAATTAAAGCATGATCCGCGACCATAAGTACATGTAACTACAAAGAGGGATTACAAAATTATGCGAGAAAACTGTTGTCTCTTATTTCCATTCTACTTATATTTGATGTCAGAAAATGAATTCTTTCTCGATTATAGCTATAGGTACTACATCTGAGATTAAAAAAAATAATTTAGTATAAAAACACGATATGGATATCGATACTTAGTGGCCAGTAAGTCAAACCAACACAAAAACGTAAACTGTACCCTTGTTTTAATTCATTTCACACAATAAAAGGAGGTCATAATGGAACTTTGGATTTAGCTTCATTATGACAAAATTTCTTTTTATTCGTTTTAGCAACAAAGTGCAAAGTCTTCTACGGGATTCATAGAAGTGTCCCAAGAAGATTTTCTAATAAGCGAAATCTTTATAACTGAGTAACACTTTACAGTGTGTTCTTTCATTAAAGGTTTTTCCCTGGATAGTGGATTGTTCGATGGAGATAAATTCTATTATGTCGCGGGAAGACCGGGTTTTGCCAACAAAGCAGGGAATATCGGAAATGTAAGAACTTAAAAGACATTGATTTTTATCTTTTCACTGTAGGGTGTCCTCAAAAGAAATTGATTCCACGCAGTAAGAAAAAAATCATGGTTTTTTTATATACTTTATTGATCGAATGATAGAATCGGGCTATTAAGTTGTGGATCGCAAAGGAGCACAATTTTTACACTTACCTAATGAAACAATATTGCACTACCATAAGGTTAATACATTTTGTTTAAAAAATCCTGTTTCTCTTTTTTTCTATAATTAGGTAGAGATTCTGGAATTTTTCGAAGCTGGTAAAAAGACTACAAAGAAGCTTATAGCTGGCAAACAGGTAACTAAATTAGATAAATTAGAATAAAGGGAAAACAAAACTCAGAAGGAGTCGAAAGGCAAAATGTTTTACAAAATATGTTCCATATATCTCACATAGGAAGAAATTGTAGCACACCTCACACAGAAAGAAGTTGAAGCACATATTTTGACAAATTATGTTTCCTTTTGCCATGAGTAGTTAAAAAGGCTCATCAATTGTTATTGCATGTACAGGTTTATCAAGATCTATTAAGGTCTAATCAATTATTGACTAAATGTTCTTCAGAAGAAAATATAAATTGGAATTTGATCATGAGACTTACATTGCTATGATGTTTTTAACTTTTATCGTGAAGTATTTTTTTTTAATTTATGGTATAAGCTTGGTGGTGGATTTGGTTATTCTGTGTGTGTGGCGGACGTAAATGGAGACAGCATAGACGACGTTCTAATTGGTGCCCCTTTGGAGTATATCAATCAGTCAAGTGGAAGCATTATCGTGGATAGTGGTTCTGTTTATATTTACCTCGGAACTGGGTCCTCTGTAAGTCTCACAGCTTTATATATTTCAAATCTACAACTCCTGACTACTACGAAAATATTCTTCATATTTATACCTTAACCCCATTTAAACTTGATCTTGTATAATTTAATTTTATTTAAAGGAGCCCTAAGTTCTATTTTTAAGTATCATGTGTCATTTTCTTCGTTAACAAACACATATCACTTTTAAAATTCATTTCATTTCTTTCAATACATGTATATCATATATTTCGTACTTACATCAGGACATCATCAAAGACAATCATTTAAGGATTTCTGGGATGAGCAAACCGTGGGCCCGATTTGGAACTGCCATCATCGACCTCAGAGATATTTCAAACGATGGAATATCGGGTCTGTTAAAATGACGTATTTCCCATTGAACAGCAATTATTATATAAATACTGCATATAGTTAACAGTATAATAACATTGAAAATTGTCATCCATTGTAAACCGAGGTGCAACCAAGATTGATATTAGTTTTTCAAGGTGTGAAATTTTTCGATACCCCCAACTTCATGCAGTATTTATTTTAAATTGATGTTTAATAGGAAAAAACAAATATTTGTGAACCGTTAGCGAATAAATTCTGCGCAGTCATTGTTTTTTGGGGGAAACCAACTGTCTTCAAGTAATATTGACTGCTGCTACGTTCTATCATGCTGGTTGCCGTGTTTTCATCATTTATAGGGTAAAAGTGTCTTTAACAAAAGTTTCTCGGGAAATCAAAGTTAAGTTATTAACATGAAAGTAAAATATTTTATTTTTTCATAGAATAAGTAAATAATATTCTACGTTTACAATTAAAATTTGCTCTGTTTTTAAACTAGATATTGCAATCGGAGCACCTTTTGAAGATGACCATAGAGGGACCGTGTACATATACAATGGAAAAAGTGGAAACTTCACTGACCCTTGGGATTATTCACAAAGAATTTCGCCGGATGATTTAAATTTAGGAATCCGCGCTTTTGGCTTTTCTTTATCCAGATCTCATGTAGATATTGACGACAACTTATATACAGGTATTTTTTGAAACTCATTTAGGACTGCCTATCAGTTGTTTCATCTTAATTTAGTGGCTATGTGTATATATTAAAACACCACTAGATAAGTTACTGTATTCGGAGTTACAAATTTTATAGAAATTTTATAGAAGCTGAAGGCATTTTAAAATGTGAAGATATTACTAAAAATATCCTGACTGGATGACGTGTTTTAAAAATTAAAACAGGAAATCTTTAAGAAGAAGTATAACTTTTTTGTGTATAAATAACAATTGGATTCTCTATCAAATAATTCTTACAGGTTAATTTGTCTTAAAATAAAAGAATTCTTTTTTTTTTAAATGAAACAACACTCTGCAAGCATGGTCAGTGACATAACTGTTGGTTGGTCCTTGCTGAAAAGTGCAATATATGTACCTTTTCCACAGAAAGTATATTGGTCTATCCATTTAGTAGGTAAAACTATTCATTTAAGGTTGTAAATAATCAAAAATATAATTATTCATTGGTATAGATTTGGCTGTCTCTGGATATAAAACAGACCAAGTGGTCATTCTTCGGACACGTCCAGTAGTTCACGTTGAAGTAGATATAATCTCCACTCCAGAAAGTATCCCTATCAATTCTACTGGCTATGAATGTAATGACGGCAATGACTATCCATGCGTGACACTACATTTACGGTTCCGTGTGACCGGAAAAGGAATAGAAAATGGCGTCTGTAAGTAAAGGACTGTACAGTAAATACGAAGCGTTTATAAATTAAAAAAAATTCAAATGTGAAAACAAAGTAAAACCTTTGTAGTTACATGCAATGAGATGATGGTCAATATGAATTCTTTGCTTTATACGAATTTAAACGTTTACAAAAATGAAAACAGATAATTGAGAAAAATGTCAATGTTCCTTCATAACAATTAATATCTGTAGCATGGATAAACATGTATGTGCCTCCTTCAAAGCAAAAATATTTATTATTACTGTAATTACAAACTTCATTTTTGTTGTTGTTTTTACCCTTGTAGATATGAACTACACTTTATTAAGTGATGAATTCTCCGACACCACAAGATTTTTTCTTCGACGGAATAACAGTGTTATAGGGAATTTTAACAATTCACAGGAATCTCAAATGGTTTTGTTAAAGCCAAACACGAAGACAATCATTAATATTAACTTGACAGCAGATGTAAGTAATATAAAACTTTATTACAACAACAGTTTCTTTTAGTTAAACACACAAAAACATAAGAAACAGATTGAGATATATATATATATATATATATATATATATATATATATATATATATATATATATATATATATATATATATATATATAAACTAACATTAAAACATTGTTAAAAGAGATTAAAACATGTCTACACTAAACATTACATAATCTAAGAAATACTATTGGTTGGCCCTCTTCTCAAATTCACCGAGAGGAATAAACCATTTCTAAGGCAGCAACTAGAACAACTAAATTTCACAGATTAAATACTGACATATCTTTTATTCCTTAAGGCCATCGACTGGAGGTTTTTCCAATCCCTTACAGACCCAGTAAGTGTCCATTTGATGTTTTCTCTAGCTGACATAACAGTGAATGAGGAAGTCCCACCTATTCTACATTCAGACGTGATAACTAGCCGCTATAAGACGGTAAGGGTGATACATAATGGCATTATACACTACTTCGTCTTTAGGGAATTATTTACTTTTTATTACTTGCAAATCTTTTATTATCGTTTGTTTATTTTGAGGGAGAATGATGGTTGATGAATATTTGTTGTCTAAATTTGATACACTTCATATGGCAAAATTACTTGATAATTACTCAACAAATTCTCATGATGAAACCACAGGCACTTGTTCCGCATATAGGGAACCCCATACTTTTTCTTTCCATAAAGAAAAAGTATGGGATGCCCTGGCAGGTTTACAAAACGAGTGCCTGTGAATAAAATAGCTAAAGGATTTTTCAAAACTTATTTACAGCTAGAAATCAATACAAATTGTTCCTCTTATCCCTGCAAGCCAGATTATGTAGCACATTTGCGCTCAGTGGAAAGCAATATGACATTGCAAAGAAACCAAGAACTAGAGTTTCTGATGTACTTAACAAATGCTGGAGACCCGGCGTATAAAACAGATTTTTACATAGAAACCTTCCCTAAGATGGATTTTTATAGAATTACAGAAGGAACTAAGGACCTCAAATGCACTGTTCTCTACTTTGGTGTATTGCACTGTATTGTACACTCAGTGACTCGTAGAGAAAGGTTCTATGCACATCAAAGATATAAGTTTATGTTAAAATTCTTCGTTGACCCTGACGCAGCTGTGGCTAGGAAGTCGGACCACGTAAAAATTGAAGTTATTTTCAATTCAACAATGGAAGATGAAATTATGCCACCTAAAACGTTTGAGATGATAAGTTATTTTAACCTTCATTCAGATGTAAGGGTCATTGGGTAAGTATTAGTTAAAGATAAAAAAAACTTTAATTTTACAGTAATATTGTGGATATGAAGTATAATGCTAAAAATGAACTTATATTTACAAAGAATGGATGATTAATGTATTTTAAACCCTAGAACTTTATGTTTAGTTCTCATTATCATTATTTGTTATAGAGGATCAGACCTATCGGACCTAATCATAGCCTCCACATCCCAGACCGTATTTAAATACTCCGTAACATATGACATCCACAATGAAGGACCTAGTCCACTTGGTGCAAATCTTAACATAACCATAGCTAGCAGCAAAGGCAACAATAAAATTCTTAAGGTAATTGGAAAAAAGGCATGAAGTATAGGTTTTATAGAAATAAGCATTTTAATATACATGTACTTGTCGAGATCAAATTATTTTCAGAATATACTTAACTTTTTAAAGATTACCTTTGTATCTGTTTTCTTTTTGTTCTTGAGAACAAGTACCTGCTTTATAAAGCTTAGATATTACAATTGAGCTTAGTAATTGTAGGAAACCTTTTCAACGTTTTAAAAAGTATTTCTGTTGCCAGAATAACTTTTTTGTATTTGCTCACACCTGTGTACATACTTTTCATATCAGCTGATATTCTGTATGAAAACTCTTCGTTTTACCAGAATTTCTTCAGTTTTTCTTTGAAATTCATATTTTTTATAATAATTGAAAGCTGGGCAAAATATACATGTATGTATCATTTACAAGCAACGTTTTGAAGAATTTAGTTTCCTAGAACATGAATAGGCGCCTTTACACATTTCATGTCTTTATTTAAGATCTAGAGGATATCGATTTCTTAAAAATTTAATCTGAACTTGTGAATGGTAATAAACCTTAATGAAATGAGAAAAAAGACAATTGTTACGTATTGTCATGTTGATGGGATGGGGTGCTCGATTTTGATAAAATATAATCACATATAATTATGTTTTAAACACAGGATAAAACTGTACCTATTCAGTAATCTAAATGATGACTGAAAGGCCTGGAAAGGTCACTGAATGACAGAGCTCTGCAATTCAGTCACTTTTCAGTAAACTTTTAGTCATATTTCAATTAGTTTCAAGTAATTTCAGTGGCAATGAAAATTTCTTGTATCCCAATGAGTGAAAACAAATTCAAGCATTCAAATTCTTTATAATATCAAAATATTATAGTATTTTTCAAATCCATAAGGTCACCTGAGTCACTCAATCACATTTGAACATTTTCATTTTCTTTTCTGAAACCACTTTTTGTTTACATCATCTATGGGGAAAGGGAATAAAAATTTAAATTTCATGGTCTCTTCCCCTCAGGGACCTGTGGGTTGCAACCAAAACCATTAAAATGAATGCAACCTTCAAATGCAGTTACATATGTAAATGCAATCTTCTTCTTTACTCCTGGACATCAAGAAGTCAAATCGTCGGCATGATAATAATAAATGTGAAATTCTTGGCCCCAGGGTCAGGGGATCTGGTATTATGATGGCGCTCTATCGATCATATAGTGAAAATGTGAAATATCTTTCAACCCCCCCCCCCCCCACCCCGTATATTAAGAAGACATACTAAGTGTATAGTTAAGATAATAAAGAGTGTTTCTTCTAAAATTATGAAATTCATGGCCCTTTTTCAGGGGATACTAGTTTAAGGATGTGGCTCTATCGATGATATTGTGAAAATACATTTGAAATTCTTTATTTCTTTAAAAATTCTTCTGTGCCTCTGGATATTTAGCAGACAAACTAAGTGCATGTTTATGATGAGTGAGATCATCTCCTCCAAAATTATGAAATCCATGTCCTCTGGATAAGAGGTTCCGGTGTTAGAATGGGGCTCTATTGAAACCAAAATGAAATGCTTTATTTCTTCAAAATCTCTTCTCCTCGGCAAACAGAGTACAAAGTTGTACTGAGCAATGAATGTTTTTATCAGATTCGTAAAATTCTTGACCATTGTTCATGGGGTTTTTGTGCTGAGCGGGGCTAATTGATAATGTAGGGACATTTGTTTTCTTTTTTGAGATAGAGAAGTCTTTCCATTTGTAGGTCACCTGAGTTTACTCAGGTGACCTATTGCTATTCGTTTTCGTCCGTCGGCTCTATTGATTATATAGTGAAAATGCATTAATTCTTTGAAAATCTTCTTCTCTGCTCCTGGGTATTAAATAAATTAACTAAGTTCATAGTTATGATGAGCAAGAGTGCCTCTTTCAAAATTATGAATTTCATGGCCCCAGGGTCAGGCGTTCTGGTGTTAGGGCGGGGCTCTATAGACTATATAGTAAAAATGCATTAATTCCATGAAAATCTTCTTGGCTCCTGGGTATTAAACCAATGAACTATGTAGATAGTTATGATGAGGAAGGGCGCCTCTTTCAAAATTGTGAATTTCATGGCCCCTGGGTCAGATGTTCTGGTGTAAGGGTGGGGCTTTACTTATTTAATAATAAAGTGAAAATGCATTTCTTTTAACATCTTTTATGCTTCTGGGCATATTCGAGGCAAACAGAGTAAAAGTTTTAATATGCAAAGGTATTTTTACCAGTATTTTGAACACCTGGACCATTTAGGCAAATGTTCTGGTCCTGGCTAGGGCTCTATTAACTTGTATTCTGCTGAGCAAAGTTATTCCCCTTTGCCATTCACCTTTGATAATTAATCACTGTAAACAATGTATTTGAAAGGTTAATAGAATAAGAGAATTATGCAAGAGTATTTATTGTATAATACGAAAAGTACTTTCAATAGTTTTAATGATCAGGTAGACTTGGAAATAATAGATGAATAAAAACGAGACAAAAATAACTTATCTTTTTAAATGTTCTTCAAAGGCCAAGAGATGCCAATTTGAGAGGTAATAATATGGGGTTAAAAAATAGGCATTTTGTTAATAGTCTGAATGGTAATAGTGATAAATGGGGGACATATAGATACTAGACCAATTATTTTTTGATGCTAATCATACTATTTTTCTTGCTTTTGGGCAACAAAGCTTCATTTATCAGTTTATGGATCCTCTAAATTATTGTATTTTACTCAGGTGACCGTTAAGGCGCTTGGGCCTCTTGTGTTATTTACCTATGATAATCACTGTACATTATGTAATTAATAAATAAATTGAATAAAAGTTTTTTTAATTATTTTAATTTTGAGCAGCTTATGCTCACCTTTTAGTTGCCTCTTGTAAATTTTAAAACGATGGAAATATTTTTACTGCAAATGAAATAAAGGGTCACATACAAAGACATTAACATATTTGCAGAAGTTCACATCTTTGACATATACTTCTGACTACATATGTATTTAATGAAATATCTCTATTTATGGAGTTCTTAAAATAATCTTAATTTTGTCAGATTTGAAAACAAATGTCTCAGACGAATCAAAAATCGCATTTCATTTTTATTGACGCAAGAAACTTCTTCCTGATAATGTGCTTGGTTGTTTAAGTTATTTATATTTGAAAAAAGAAGTAAATTAAGGATTAGGAAAGAGAACAGGAAATAGCTTTTTTGCAAAAATAAAACTTTTTATAAATGTTTCAAATACTTACATTATTATATTTGACCGTTTAATTAAAAGGTCAAGGTCATTTTCTTTTCCTTGTCATTAAGAATAAAAATTATTTTGGCCAATGTAATGCTTATTATTATTTTAAAAGATTTAATTTTTTTCTTTTTACATAAAAAGTTGAAACAACAAAAGGTCTACCAAATGATAGTATCAAACTGAGATAAACAGTTAAACTAAATAGATATTGGGTAATCCGAATTTCCTTTACTTTTTTTTAGGGAATATTAGTTGTTTTAATATGTTTTGTATATTTAAAATTCTATTATTTTTACATATGGTAAAGTAGTCATGTAAAGGTACAAAGTGCTACATAAATAAAAAGTTTTTACCGTTCAATAAGAGAGAAAAACATGTTTTACTGAATTTTTACTCAAATCTGTTCTTAGAATCCTTAGCTTTCAAAGGCTATAAGATTGCTATTTGTCTAGAAATTCATATTTATTTGATATATTTTAAAACTTTAGTCCATTATTATTAATTTCAGCCACTACAAAAATTAAGCCTTTGATTGTTTAAAAATGCCTTTTAAATTCATTGTTCTGTAGTAATTTTCAGAAGCAGAAAAGGAGATATTTTCATACGCCGCTATTCCGCCAGAAATATAGTCCCTGCTAGATTTTAAAGTCAGTTTACCATTACTATTTCAAATTGTACAATTATGCAAAAGAAAGAAAAATATGATCTTTAAAACCCTTAACATCTAAATATAAAAGACCTGTAAGCAAATATACTTTGAGTATTTCATGGTGTCAGAAACCAGAAAAGAATCCCTCCTTAAATATATCGCTGAAATATTTCACCTGTAACTCACAAAAACTACGTAATGAAGATAAAATAGAATGTATTACATGCTTACTGATTTTTATTTTTTAGGATATAACGGTCAACAGAGGAAATTGTACAGCAGAAATGAAAATCGACATAATACGTTTAGGAGAAGCTGGCAATTTGATATCACAACCTCTGAAAGATAACGTAAAGGAGGAAACTTCAACTGATATTGTACGCTGTCTTAGTTTTATATTGCATGTACATTGCATACCTCTTCGCTGGCCAAGTGTTTTCAGATCTGCTACACTGCTCACACACAAAGAGGTTTTTTTTTTTTATAAAGTAGTTTTAAAGAAGTGGAGCAGATCAGAACAAAGAACATTTCTAGTAAAGATAAATTGAATACTATAGTATTATCTTGCAACTTACAATTTGAAAATATAATAAACAAACATAAGAATGCAATGCTCCTCCCAACACAGTGTCATAACTAAGTTCATCAGGTGACCTGAGGCTTTAAGGTGAGTGAAAGGGCTGAACCAATTGCAACATAATTTGGCATATAGCATCTATGGGTGAAGGGGAACAAAAATTATGAAATCCATGCCCCCCTCCCTCCCCGGGACCTGAGGGGTGGGGCTAAAACCCTAAAAATTAATGCAATATATAAAAATCTTCTTTATTCCTGGGCATCAAGCAGTCAAACTGTTAGATTGTAATAAGCATTGGGCCTTCTACAAAAATTGCTATATTCATGGCCCCAAGGTCAGTGGTTCTGGTGCTAGAGTGGGGCTCTGTTGAATATGTATAGTGAAAATGCATTATTTCTTAAAAATCTTCTCCTCTGCTCCTGGGTATTAAGGAAACAAACTAAAAGATAGTTAAGATGAGGAAGGGTGTCTCTTTCAAAATTGTGAATTTTGTGGCCCTTTGGTCAGGGGTTCCGGTGTTACTGCGGGACTCTATTGATTATATAGTGAAAATGCATTAATTCTTTGAAAATCTTCTTCTCTATTCCTGGATATTATTTAAATAAACTAAGTGCTTGGTTATGATAAGCAAGGATGCCTCTTCCAAAATTATGAATTTTTCCAGGGTCGGGGGTTCTTGTGTTAGGGCGGGGCTATATTGATTATATAGTGAAAATGCATAAATTCTTTGAAAATCTTCTGCTCTGTCCCTGGGTATTAAGCCGATACACTATGTACATAGTTATGATAAGAAAGGGTGCCTCCTCCAAAATTGTGAATTTCATGGCCACTTGGTCAGGAGTTCTGGTGTTAGGGCGGGGCTTTAATGATTGTATAGTGAAAATGCATTAATTCTTTGAAAGTCTTCTCCTCTGCTCCTGGGTATTATGTCGATGATCCAAGTACATAGATGATGAGTACATTATGATGGGCAAGGGTGCTTCTTCCAGAATTGTGAATTTCAAGGCCATTGGGTCAGGGATACGGAGGTGGGGGCTCTAATGAACATATACTGAAAATGAATTAATGCTTTGAAATCTACTCCTCGGTATTAATCAAACATTTATGGTGACCAAGGGTGCCTTTTCTCAAAATTGTGAAATGTGTGACCCCAGAGTCAGGGATTCCTGTCGGGTGGGGTACTACGGATTATATAGTGGAATGCATTTGTCTTTGTTCCTCTGCTCTGCCTTTGGGCATTAAGTATTCAAACTAAGCATGCTAAATTTAAAGTTATGATGAGCAATGGTGCTCCTTTCAAAATTGTGAATTTCATGGCCTCTGGTTTAAAATACGAACCAAATTCAGTTGTTGGAAAGTTGTTACATCATATAAGGTCCGTAGGCCTCTTGTTATTCAGAACATATTAGTCAAGGTATTCAAATGTCTTGTCTTTCTTTCCTTGTTTTTGGAAACAACAAATCTGCTAAAAGTCATCCTGAATTACAAGCAATAAAAATGAATATAAAACATGTCTTATTTTTGTGATGTAGCTTTGTGGTCTTCCTGGAATCAGTTGCACTTACTTGATTTGTGATCTTGGATTCATTAAAGCAACAGAGTTTGAGAGTGTAGAACTAACGATGGATCTTGATTCCAACTCATTCTCAAATATTCTTAAGGTATGAAAGACCTTCAAGGTTTACATTATTTTATTATTCTTATGTTTAGTGGAATTAACTTTTTCATTTTGCTTTTCTGATGAACCCTACTTAGTTAAATTTTAAAAACGGAAGTGCGAAAAAAAATCATTGAAAGTATCCATGTGTATGCCCTTTTGAAATGGCTGAAATATGATATTTTATTACGTGTTTAATTGCTATCCATGAGATTGAATGAATTCGGGTACATTCTAAGCTAGAAAGGTAATGTGTTTAAATGCAATTGTAGGACTTAAATACTAACGCCGCACAATTTGTCACCCCAGGAGAGCTTCGTTTGTACAACAACAAAATACCAGCCTCTATAAATGTTACAGATAAAGGAAAGGTGAGTTCAGAAAGTTAAAATGAACCAAAATAAAGACCCTTTATGTTTCGTTTCATTTTAGAATAAGTCATAATGTGTAAAGACTGAGCCACACAAACATAACATCGTGTGTTCTGTGTTTCCTATTTCAGGTAGCATTGAGAGTCTCATTGGGCTCCACTGGTGTGACGTCATCTGACCTACTTTGGTACGCTGTTGGGGGCAGTGTTGGAGGATTCTTGTTTCTTGTTATTATTGCACTTATTCTATGGAAGGTAATTGGAATGTTCAGATTTTAAAATTTGGTTTGTTCACATATAGTAATTACTTAGAACTGTCATAGAAATTATATGTTCCATGCGGAGTAGACAACAACTTAAGGCTCGAAGAGAAAATGATGTCTTACATACAAAGCTTAATTAATCCTGAAAATAACAAGAAAGATTCACCTGCATCTATACTTCAATGTCATCAAAACTGTTTTGGAACTTAATGTAACGTCCTTTTTTAAAATGAATATATTCTTCGCCAAGAAATACTTTCGGTGTAATAATTTTAGCTGGAATACTGTCTTGGTGCCTTTAAGACCGTCATTTATGTACCCATTTATGTGCAAGGTTACATGTACTTTGTATTTATTATAAATGTAACGCATGTGATATATATGTATAACGCATAAAGAAACAGTTTCAGTTGTAATTTGTGGTTGTACCAGATGGTTAGTAACTTGGCTTTTTGCTTGATTATTACCAGTTCTAATTTAATGGCATTTATGTGTATACAGTAAAAATGTGACAATACTATGAAAGAATGATAAATTATCCTACTAGATAAAGCAAAACAAATGATTTTATCTGTAAATACTTTTGGAATTTGGTAGTACTTATAATATAGAATATGTGATTATGTATTATTTAGTGTGGGTTCTTTAACCGGAAAAAAAGGGGAGAAATCGACAGAGCCAAAAGGCAGTCCCAGATGAAACAGAGGCAGAGTAGAATGATGTCACAATTTGTCAGTAAGGAGCTGAACAAAGGTCACGAGTCATCAATCAATGGTACTGACAGAGGCTCCCAAGGGTTTAGACAAAGTACAAAGAAAGACTATCCGGATTTAGATGTCCAAGACAGATAACAGAAAAAAAATGGTTTTAAGTTTTCTAATCTTAGATGTTCTCTGTTTTCATGAGAGTATCTTCAAATTCGAAATGTACTCACATTTCGTTGATAGTACTCAATGAGGCAAACTGGAAAGGAAATTTTACATTCCTTTCATCACCGGTGAATGACTTTTTTTAACCAGAGAGTGTGTGTGAGAGGTGACAAATGTTTGTGATATGTGTAGAATGTGCTAATGGAGTCCATAATTCATACTTTCATTTGTTTCCATTTTGATGGAACAAATCATCTTATATTTAGAGGAAAAATAAATCATGAAACAGTTGTTACAACAACAATTAAAAAATGCATAAATGGGTCTGCAGATGACGTACAATGAAGCAAAAAATTATAAAGAATAAGTGAAATATAATCTGTTTTATCTGAAAAGTTAACGAATGTACATGTAAAGGAAGATAATTATGTATGCATTGACATGTAAACAGAAAGAGAATGGCATTTTGTATGCATTTGACCATTATTTCTACCAGTTTTTGATTGCAATTTTTTTAAAAGCATGGCGAGATTTTTTTTTATTTCATTACGGTCAGAAATACTCTATTAGATGATCTGCAGCTGAACATTTTTACAGTGGAGAGAAATCCTTGGATAAAATGTGCAGTGGTATCACTATGATGTTAATCAAATTTTAAATTTATTTAAAGGTTTCTGTTCATTTTTTACTAGTACGTGTACTAGTGAATTTTTTTTTTCATAAATACTCCTGAAAATATCATATTCGATGATTACCTCGAACACATTATCAATTTTGACCACGAACCAATTGCGTGACATAAAAAAATCATCACCAAATTTTTTTCCCCATTTTTTTCACTGCATTCTCATGAGGATGAACAGTCTCTGCTAAGAGGGATATCCGTTAAAAAAAATCCTCATTTTCAACAACCATGTTTCAAATATTACCCCCTTTGATGAATTTATTTTACTTGCTTTAATTTGTTATGTGGATTTTGTTAGGAACAAATCATAAGAAACCTAATTCCATTTTATTGTTGTTTTTTTTTAATTTGATTTTTGAGTGGTACACAAATAATAACATCTTCAAGAAGCAACAATTATTAAAGTGTTGACTTTCTTACTCATCTCTTACATGTACATGTTTAAATGTCAGAAGCATTCCTTCTAGCATGTATTCCGAAACATAAGGCATAAAAAGCCTTGTGAATAGCCACAAACAAATAATTAAAGTGCATCTTTTCTTTGGCTGAGAAATATGCAATTATGCACTTCATGTATTTTTTTTATTATATTTTTTTTTCAATGCAGTATAAAATAATTATATAATTAACTAATCAGATAAAAAAAACTCCTGAATGAATTGACATTGAAATTTATTTAATCATAATTACGTTCCCTGTACTAGGTCATCGCAATCCATTATCAGGAAGGGCAAGATCATCCAGATTTAAAGCTTGTGAAATACCAAGTTATTAGAATTGAGAAACAGAACTACATGTTCTGAATGGTTTTAATGAACTGCTTTAGACATGTACGAAAGTTGTCCATAAAGTTCGTGGACAATGACGTTTTGTTCAAAATGAATGGTTCTAGATATACTTATTGAATACCAAAATATTTCTTATAAAAAATCCAAGTCAGAATAGTTTGGTTTTTATTGCTTTAACTTTTTTTCATCTTTAAGTAAAAATCGTGGTCTTAATAGGCCGGAGATAATGCACAGGGCCCAGGGTTAAAATGCCATAAACTTTCAAATAAAGTGCTCTGATTTAAATGATTATTTTCTTTCTAAAACAAGTCAGAGCTTAATTAAAATGAAATGTGTCGCAGATAGAGGCCCTATCGTCATTTCTGATATCTTTAGTATCGCTTACTTTACAGACAATGAAAGACCATGATTTATTAAATATATGAAATTGAAATATTAAATGCATACTACTTTACGAACGCTATAGATGTAAATACCTTGGTCTATATTAAAATATTATCTTATGTATTGAGATATATATATATATATATATATATATATATATATATATATATATATATATATATATATATATATATATATATGCAGATTGTCAATGCATCATTAGACCTATAGATGACACATGTTCTCTGCAAACGGTTTTATTTCATATTATCAATCGTTGTCTTTCCATACCAGGTGCAATTTTGAAATTGTCAAATGGTAAAACATTTATAACATAAACAAATACTTTTATGCATATTAAAAAGGATTGTAAATAATGATTAAATGGCAACAAAAATAACTAATACATTCTAATTATAAACAAGCAAAGAAGTAAACATTTTTTTCGTTGTCTTACATACGTTGTACATTGTAAACAAGTTTGTTTTTGTTTTCTCTACTTAACACCCCCTCCCCTTCGACCAATCGTTAACCTTTTTACAGTACAGATTTATTACAATGTGTTTTACTTAGCATTATATCTTGTTGACAATGATAACTGAAAACGATTTTTTGTGACAGATATCTGAAGGTTTGTGATTGTCTTTTACTGACTTATGTATTCCTCATCACGAATTATTTTTGTGTAGTTCAGTCGCGAAAATTATTAGTTGATGATAGATTTCTAAATGGCGAATCGCAAGTAATAGTTGGTTTATAACTCAAATTTCCATGAAGAATGATGTTCGAATCTGTTTGTTTGTTTTTTTACTGAAAGGACACCTGAGTGTTTAAGTTAAGTAATTTTACCTGTCTAACGTTATAGAGATTCCTAGCTGATGTAGCTAAGGTCACAGTATATTTTTGAGACTCTCTTGGCGTCTAAATTCTATGTTGAAATGTTACTTGTGGAAAGTTTTCCAAGATACAACTTTTTCATTTCACTTAGACGTTGTAATAAAAAGTACAAAACTACCCCCCCCCCCCTAATTTAAACTTGAAACTGGACACGACTCGTAAGAGGAAGAAATTTCTTCTTGTACGCAATATTTTTCTCCGTTGGCGTCTTATCCTTGAACACCTATATACGCCTCTGACTTATTAACAGTTATTTGCTGTACAGGTCTCACACGTATGGATGTGTCTTGCATCCTCGGTAGCGATACTTTTTTTCAAATGTATGTAACGATACAATGTCAGAAGAAAAGTAACGTCAACTGCACATGTCTATTAATTAAAAGGATGTTCAAATTGCACGTAAAAAACGACAAAAAATGTAAACACCAGGACAACGCAAGAAATACTAGATGCCGGGCACGAATGAGAAGGGTATATATACCCTAGTGCTGTTATCAGAAATAGGAAAATTAATATGGCGTAAAACTATTTAGAGAGTCGTGTTCAGGTTTAAGATATATGTTGTCTTAGTTGACAATTTAAAGCATCAAGAGTAAGCATAAAGCATCCCAAGTTTTAAGAAACCTGTACGCTCCTTTCATTTACTTGATCTTGATCTTAACACGTACATGTAACACATAAAACACATTTTAAAAATTTTTTGTATACAAACGTGTTAATTCTGGACAATAAGTTTTGATGTTCGCGAACACAAGACCTTATCACAAAAAGCTAATATGTTCAGGTAGCACGATTGGATTGCCTGTTAATCAAAGGAAGAGCTGTAGTTTCTCGTTTGATTGACAAACAATATTGATCTCGTATAGATCTATTCTGTGGGTGTCACATGGGTCATGTGTGAAAATCGGCCCTGAAAAACGTACCATTTTATTATAATGATATGCTTTCATAATCTTTAAATAAAGAACATAACAAAAATGGACGTTACCTATCTGTCTTATATGTACATTTAAATAAATCTTTATGATTTTTTTCCTGAAAAACATCGTGAAAATAATACACTTTTATTCGCAATGTAAAGCATGTGCCATCAACCATAAAATGTCCAAATATTTTGTAAATCATATAAATTTTAGACATACTGTATGAATGTACAATGAAAACAAAATCTCAATCACATTTTGAATTTCAAAACAAAGTTCTTCTTAAACAAAATATTTTTTGAAATTATCTGCACACTAGAGACTAAAAGATGCACAACTAAAAGACATGTACATTCTTCCTTTCTGCAGTTACCACGAAATCAATACATATTTAATACTTAGTTATTGAAAGTACATGTATGATGAAAAAGATCTGTTTTTTTCTCTAATTTAAATTAATTAAAGATAACTTTTTTGTTTCTATTTCAAACTGATTACTGTTAGTCGTTTTAATTCCACGGCGTTAAAATTTCACGATTTCTTAAAAAGTACCAATCATGATGGTTTTAATTTCACGCTGCAAGAAATTGATTTAAATTTCGTATAAGCATTGGAACGTTTTCGTTTTTAAAAACTGATGATAGCATTCACGATAGGTTGAATTTCCCGGGAAAATGATAAATCGCAAAGATAGTGAAATTAAAACCATCGAGATTATTTGCCAATTTACAGTATTATAAATCAAAAAACAAATATGGCGTGCATGTGTTCCTGTATATTTGATTCTTTATGGATTAAAAGTAATTCATCCAGAATTTCCACAGATGTAAAATTCAAACCATTGTCTGGACTTCTACAAAGAAATAATTTCATAATGTCAAATTATCATCTTCATCAAATACTTTATCCTGCATTAATTGAATGTCAATTGTACTCTGGGAAAAATGTTTTTATATCAAATGCCAATTATATTGAACACAAATATGCTAATTATCATAAAGTAACATATTGTATGAAGGACAGCTGCAAATGTCAGTGAAGAATATTTTTGCCTCCTGTTATCTTTAATGAACTGTTTTAAAAATGGTCAATGCTTATCCCCATGATAAAGGACTTAACGTTACAGAAAAAATAAATCACATCAATATATCGCTGTATTACAACAAATTTCAAAAGTTCCAGTTTAAAGACACTCGATTCATGTAAGATTATAGTTAACCAAAATAAAATATGAAGATAACTGACAGTAATCAAATAACCAAACCGTTAGTTAACAAATAATGAAATGACAAAGAGCAGGTCAACTGAAATACATCATACATGTAGTCAGTCACCTTTGCCCGTAATCCATATATAAGGAATTGCTGGGATAAAAGAAAAAAAGAACATAAAACAAATTGAGAGATTTTGGGGTATATTTATGTTTTTTCATTGGAGCTCTTCATTATGAGAAGATACAAAAATTAATCTAAATCCAGTCCCCATCCCACCAAAGAATTAAAAAGCAATTCGTTAAAGAAATGACAACAGGAAGTATTTTATGTTCTTTCTCTTTCAATGCGTATTTTTTTTTACTTTCTCTTTACTTTCTCTTGTTTCCTTAACTATACACGCTAGGTCCTTCATTCACAGGTCAAGTATATTTTGTTTAAAAGAAATGTTTAAGGTCTGAGGACAGGTTCTCGGATTATTTTTGTATCTTCTCATAATGAAGAGCTCCAGTGAAAGAACATGAATATACCCTAAAATCGGTTTCAAAAATATCCTTAATTATGTCCTTTTTTGTGCCACTTGAGTTTGGAAGAAGTCAAGTAACTTCATGTTGGATTATATTGGAAATACCATCCTCTGAAATCGTGCACAAATGCCATTTAATTTACCTCAATTATGTTAAAGTAGCAGTACCTCAATCGCAAAGTCTTGGAAAAAGTTATATATAATTGAAGAGTAGACGTATGACCGTAAGTAAATATGCTATGGATAGTAATATCAATAAAGCCTCTCACCTTTGGACGTCTCTACATGAGTGAAAAACTATTGAATGGGACTTTAAACAACATACAATCAATTAATCCATTAATCTCACCTTTAGTACTGTCAGATGTACAATCAAACGTTGATACAGTCGTTCTCTCCTGCCTTCTGACTTCCTTAATTGTTCTCCTCCAGCAACTACAGGCACATGCTATCAGAACAACAAAAAGAACAACACCGGACAAGGCAAACACAACCTTAATGATATTCATCCGTGTAAAAGCAGAATAAAATGATGAAAGTTAAATCCGGGTTAAATATATCGTGCAAGAATCCAATATCATCCAGTTATGTGTTTCGGTACGATATGGATTACATCTAAAATGAAGATTCGCATCAATTATCTTTTTCTTTTGAAAAATATCACTGAACATGATTTCACAATAAAGCTACAAATATAAAGAAATTATCACGTTCATTAACACATAGTAACTTCAGCTCTACGCGTTGGCATAGTAAATTCTTGTAATCTAAGCAAAATAACAAAGAATATTACGATTTGTTATTTCATCTTTTCATTATCAAAACTCAGCGAAATATTAATATTTTCGCCTGTTTCAACCAATCCATGTTAAGATGGACGTTTTTTCTGTTTCATAGTGAAAAATAAATGGATGGATCTCAACTTTACTTGTAAATTGAACATCCAGTAGGGATAAAAAAGGAATTATTTGTTTCTCAAAGTTCCTAAAATGATTTGTTTGTTTTTAATCCGTTTGGTTTATTTTAAAAATTTGTGATAATGACATTTATGATTAGAATTATGAACAAGTGCGGTGGATAAAAAGATTTATGTGGTGGAATTTATTGAAGGGGAAATTTATATTGTAATTCATCTTTAAAAATATTATAATATTTTGATCTCATAATAATTGATATGAAACTAGATGGTTTGAAGCCAAGATGTATTTTCAATGGGTGATGAAAATCTAAACAATTAAATGGTGGATACAAAGATTCAAGAAATTGATGAGTTTGAGAAAAAGACCCATTTGGAGAAAGAATTAACATTTCCAAAAAACAAAAAACAAAAAAAAAAAAAAAAAAAAAAAAAAAAAAAAAAAACAAGAGGCCCAAGGGCCTTAACGGTCACCTGAGTATAATACAACAATTTTGAGGATCCATAGAGTATAAAATGAAATGAAAGGTGAAGCTTTGTTGCCCAAAAGCAAGAAACATAGGGTGATCAGGATCAACAAAATAATTAGTCTAGTATTCATTAACAGTTAATAAATTAGGCTCTAATCTGTTCCCCGTTTATCACTATTACCATACCAATGCTTCTGTATTATTTTAATCCCTTGTTGAAATCTCTTACATTGGCCTCTCTTGGTCTTTGATGAACATTTAATAAGACAAGTTACTTTTGTCTCATTTTTATTCATCTACTACTTACAAGTCTATCTGATCATTAAAACAATGAAAGTACTTTTTGTATTATACAATAAAAGTTTTTGCATAATTCTCTTATTCTATTTACCTTTCAAGTACATTATTTACAGTGATAAATTATCAGAAGTAAATGGCAAAGGGGAATAACTCCTCTCAGTAGAATACAAACTAATAGAGCCCTGGCCAGGACCAGAACACTTGACCAAATGGTCCAGATGTTCAAAAATCTGGTAAAAATTCCCTTCCTTATAAAAATGTTTACTCTATTTGCCTCAGATATGCCCAGGTGCGGAGAAGATTTTTAAAGAAATAATGCATTTTTACTACAGATTCACTATATTATCAATAGAGCCCCCCCCCCCCAAAAAAAAAAAAAAACACCAGAGCTTCTGACCCTGGAGCCATAAGTTTGCTCATCATAGCTAATCACTTTGTTTATCTGCTTAACACTAAGGAGCAAACAGAATTACATGTATTTAATAGAATTAATGCATTTTCACTATATTATCAAGAGGCCCACCCTCACACCAGTAGATCTGACCCAGGGGTCATGAAATTAACTACCATGAAAGAAGCATTCTTGCTCATCATAACTATACAATTAGCTTCTTTGCTTTTTTAACCAGAAGCAGAAAAGAATATTTTCAAAGAAATTTTGCATTTTCACTTTATAATCAATAGAAGCCCCCCCCCCCCCCCCCACCAGAACCCTTTAACCTGGGGTCATAAAATTCACAATTTTGGAAGAGGCATCCTTGCGTATCATAACAATGTACTTAGTCTGTTTGAACAATACGCAGGGGCAGAGAAGAAGATTTTCAAAGAAATAATTCACCTTCACTATAGGATCTATATAGCCCCGCCCTAGCACCAGAACTCCTGTCCCCGGGGCCATGAATTTCATAATTTTGGAAGAGGCATCCTTGCTTATCATAACAATGTACTTAGTTTGTTTAAATAATACCCAGGTGCAGAGAAAAAGATTTTTAAAGAATTAAAACATTTTCACTTTATAATCAATAGAGCCCCGCCCTAACACCAGAACCCCTGATCCAGGGGCCACGAATTTCACAATTTTGGAAGAGGCATCCTTGATTATCATAACTATGTATCTAATGTGTTTCAATAATACCCAGGAGTAGAGAAGAAGATTTTCGAGGAGCCCCACCCTAACACCAGAACACCTGACCCAGGGTCCATGAAATTCACAATTTTGGAAGAGGCACTCTTGCTCATCATAACTATGTACTTAGTTAGTTTATCTAATACCCAGGAGCAGAGAAGAAGATTTTCAATGAATTAATGCATTTTCACTATATAATCAATAGAGCCCCACCCTAACACCAGAACCCCTGCCCCTGGGGCCATGAAATTCACAATTTTGGAAGAGGCACTCTTGCTCATCATAACTATGTACTTAGTTACTGAATTTAATACCCAGGTGCAGAGAAGAAGATTTTCAAAGAATTAATGCATTTTCACTATATAATCAATAGAGCCCCACCCTAACACCAGAACACCTGACCCAGGGTCCATGAAATTCACAATTTTGGAAGAGGCACTCTTGTTCATCATAACTATGTATCTAATGTGTTTCAATAATACCCAGGAGTAGAGAAGAAGATTTTCGAGGAGCCCCACCCTAACACCAGAACACCTGACCCAGGGTCCATGAAATTCACAATTTTGGAAGAGGCACTCTTGCTCATCATAACTATGTACTTAGTTAGTTTATCTAATACCCAGGAGCAGAGAAGAAGATTTTCAATGAATTAATGCATTTTCACTATATAATCAATAGAGCCCCACCCTAACACCAGAACCCCTGCCCCTGGGGCCATGAAATTCACAATTTTGGAAGAGGCACTCTTGCTCATCATAACTATGTACTTAGTTACTGAATTTAATACCCAGGTGCAGAGAAGAAGATTTTCAAAGAATTAATGCATTTTCACTATATAATCAATAGAGCCCCACCCTAACACCAGAACACCTGACCCAGGGTCCATGAAATTCACAATTTTGGAAGAGGCACTCTTGTTCATCATAACTATGTACTTAGCTACTGAATTTAATACCCAGGAGCAGAGAAGAAGATTTTCAATGAATTAATGCATTTTCACTATATAATCAATAGAGCCCCACTCTAACACCAGAACCCCTGCCCCTGGGGCCATGAATTTCACAATTTTGGAAGAGGCACTCTTACTCATCATAACTATATACTTAGTTAGTTTATTTAATACCCAGGAGCTGAGAAGAAGATTTTCAAAGAGATAACGCACTTTCACTATATGATCTATATAGCCCCGCCCTAGCACCAATACCCCTGACCCTGGGGCCATTAATTTCACAATTTTGGTAGAAGACTCAATGCTTATACAGTTTGACCGTGATGTCCAAGAGTAAAGAAGAAGATTTTTAAAGATTGCATTAATTTTGGTGGTTTTAGCCCCACCCCTCAGGCCCCAGGGGTCAGGGACCATGAAATTCACAATTTTGTTCCCCTTCACCCATAGATGCTATATGCCAAATTTGGTTGAAATTGGTTGAGCGGTTTCAGAGAAAAAGCTAAAAATGTTCAAATATTAACGCACATCGCATGACGACGGACAAAAACGGATAGCAATAGGTCACCTGAGTGCATGATTCAGATGACCTAAAAAGAGGGCCATGGGGTCTTGAGGCTCACCTAAGTATCAGAATTAGACTAACCCAACCTCACCTGGGACCAAACCTCAGGGTATAATGTTAGCAATTTTGTGAAGGCTCTAATACGTTTGTTAATAAATACCAGGTATCACATAGCATAAAGCTTGATTATCATATAGATGCCAAGGATTAAAAAAGATTTTCAAAGATAGGATACGTAGCACAGCACAGGTGCCAAGAGTAAGAACCACTAAACATGGCCGGCACACTTTCATATATGGAGAAGCCAAATAAGCTTCCGGAGGAAATAAGATATGTCCCAACATCAAGATAATTCAAAGTCTAATTTTAAAGAGCTGGACATTCCTGTGCGATTCCTTTATATCTCTGTAGTCTCTTACTGTTTCTTTAACCTTGCTTTTATGTAAAACACGTACACTGTACATGTATGATTATTTTGAAATAAGTACATGTACATTCATATCATTATAAATTCAAACTTACTGATATTACTTTATTGCGTTATTTTAATACAACTCACAATTATTAGCTTAGTTATCCTTTCATTTGCTAAATACATTATTCCTCCATCAAACGTTCTCCCTGTTATACACTGGTAAGTTCTTTAAAACAAAGCTTTTTTCAGTCATTTTTTCAGATTTAATCGTTTCTATGAAGAAATGTACAAGTGCTTCATACTCTGACTTCTAATTGGAACATCCTTTCTGAATCGAGACAGACCCATCGTCTTTCCGGATCACCTTACAATGGCAGTTGTTATGGAGGGTTCCCTGTATGTAGAGTGGCCATCCAGTTTCCGTCTCATTACGGCATATCCCATTGGCATCCTCGCATTCTATCCAAAAAATAAAATATAATGATTTAGTTTGTTCACAATTTAAACGAACTCTCAGATTATGTGCTCAACTTTACTTTGGCTGAAAAATTAGCTTTTGCTTCTTTGCAGAAGGTATAGAGTTAAGCTTATGAATTAAAATTGATACGATTATAAATATAACTCTAAATTGATAAAGAGTAAATTACAAATCTTCAAATTCAAATTAGAGCTAAACGAAAAAGTTTAGAAATTTCAACAAGGCATAAACGCTACGAACAATGTTCTTTTTTTCCAAATACAAGTTCAATCAATAACAATCAACAACATTGCGGATTATTTCCCCATCATATACCTCTCTACATCAGGTACATACAAAAACTTACTGATGACAACCAGCTCAAAGGTTATGCTGGGTTTACATCAGGTACATATACAAATAGATCGCATCCAGCTCTAAGACTCTGTAGGGACTACATCAGACACATATAAAAGTTTTCTGTTGGTATCTACCTCTAAGACTCTGGAGGGACAACATTAGATACATATAAAACTTACTGGTATCCAGCTCTAAGACTCTGTAGGGATTACATCTTGTACATGTAAAACTTACTGATGGTATCCAGCTCTAAGACTCTGTAGAATCCCTTTTTGCTCTCGTCTATCACACAACGTTTGGTAATACATTTATTATCAGGATCTGTGACTACACTGCCTTCCTCTAAGCACGACCCATTGTAAGGACAGCCTAATATAGCAGAATTAGATACTGAAGTATTGTTATATGTAGAGCACGTATAATTAAATGGGCATGCCAAGTTTCGTAAATGGCCTAGATACTACTATTTTCTGCTCCCTATATCAAACATTGAAAGTCAAATTGTTTGTAGGCTTTATATTTGTCTTTGTCTGTTGGAAACTTTAACTTCGTTAATTTTCAGATCCTTGGATAAAGTCAAGGTCACATTTTCCGCACATTCTAAGTCTTTTAATTAAGGAGTTACCACAATTAAACATAATTTTATTTTACAAGTAACGGTATCAATGTTTGATACTTCTATCGACTTATAAAACAAACCCACACAAACAAATAAAATTAACTTTAATTTCTTATTAATTTATTTAAAATATAAAATGTGCCTGTGTATTGCATGCATTGCTAAAGATTTTGCGACAGTAAAAATTTCAAGATTTCCAGACTTATAAGACTATAGGACATTACATTAACATTTTGCAGTAAAAAAAACTGTTTACAATATACGAACCAAGGCCCCCAAACCATAAACTGAGAGCAGACTTCAGTCAAAATTTCAAATCAATATAACTTTTGAAATGATTTTGATAATGAAACAAAATTTTCATCATATTTTTGAATTTGAATATGATACAAACCTGGAATATTTTGTTACATAAACTCTCGATATTCAAAGTCAAAATTTTGACTTCAAACTATTATTAGTATATTGTTGCATTTGATTCTAAACAAAAACTGTATGGCACCTTTGTAAATGCTAAAAAATAAAAATTGTAACCCATTTTTGGGGTCAGACGACACGTTACTCAAAAATATTTAACTTTTCCAAATATTTTGTGACTGAAATATTGCTATTTTAAGAAGTTTTCTCACAAAAAATTGGGGTACATTACAAGACATTTGTGCAAAATTCTGGAGGATGGTATTTTCTATATCGATTGATTTTATGTTGTTTTACGTCCCGTTCTCGAGTTTTTCACTCATACAGAGACGTATATTTTCTATATAATCCTATGCTAGTGATCACTTGAAATGCTGATATCACTATTTTTGGTCCATATATTTTTCAGACATTTTGAAAATAGTCTAGAAATCAAAGGAATGCAAAAACAAATATTCGAGAAATGTGTCGTCTGACCTTATAAGTTATTTCCTCCACTGAGCTCTAATATGGCTTCTCTACAGTTAGTATCTGTGTCAGTGGACCCCAACTCCCTATCATTAAATTAGCGTCCATATCAATATATTACACGCTTACATGTAAGGTGGAGGAGAATCGCTGCAATTGATAGGCGTGAATACATGGTTTAGGAAATCAGGAACCAAGAAAAAATGGGCACAGAGCTTTGTGTGTAGAGGGCCAAAAGATAAGCTTGTTATGTTAGTTATTCCAGCAGAAGTAAAAAAAAACAAATTGATAATTCCACCTTACATACCTTTCCAGATAATTTTTTGTGCCGCCAGTATAGAAGTTCCGTTTCTTGAGTTGACACACTGATATCGGACGCAGTTTTCCTCCCATGCACTTCCTGGAAAGTGACACACCCCTTTTAAGTCGGTACAACCTAAAATTGGAGTCATATACCAGTTATATTATGAAGCTGGCTTTGATGGACTTTTTACGTTGTTTATTTTTTACTTCATTTTTTATTTTTATTTTATCATTTTTTTTATTAGCTCTTAATATGCGCTATTTTACATGTACAATTGTATATATTATACCTAATTGGGGTAAGCTGATTATTCTTATGTTGTGTTGGGGACTTTCTGTTAAACATGTCTATATAATGTAAGAGTAAGCTGACTATTTCTGTGTACCCATGTGGTCCTTCAGTATGGCATTTCTGTTTTGCAAACCTAATTGGGATAAGCTGAAAATTATTGTGTTTCTATTTTACATACCTACATGTAGTTCGCATTTCTGATTTACATACCTAGTTGGGATACAGTGATAGTCCTTGTGTATCCACGCGGCCCTCCAATATGACATTTCCGCTTTACACACCCGTCTTCCTCCCATTCTTCATCTTTCTTCCTACATTGGTCTTTGTATCGACACCCTTAAAACCAAACATTAATTATGGATAATGATCCTTGATATTCTGTATTTAGCGCCTTTTCTAAAAAAAAATTCTAGTAGACCAACTGTATAGATCCGTTGTACGTGCGTAACTTATAGCGTCGGTCGCCTTTTTATTAATTGGCGGAAGGAATTTCCCCAAAAAAATACAAAATTATCACCGTTTATGCTAACTTGTAAGCAGAAAGAATGATTTTCTTTTTTATTTTCGGGGGTTACCATGTAACATTTTTTTTTATTGGCTGGTATCAATGAATATACAATAGTGCATGTCAGATCATGTTTGTTCTATCATTTGGATCCTTCTTCTTCTTTTCTTGGTTTGTTTTGTTTGTTTGTTTGTTTGTTTTTTTGTTCTGTTATTGCTGTTGCTTCTTCAGGGGCCAAAATTGGACTAATAAATCTTGTAACTATTATGTTCAAAATTTAGCCTTCACGTATATAATACACTTTCCTATTAGCTGATACATTTTCTGAGTATATGTTAATAAATGATGCTATTTTTAGAATTCTTTTGTTAATATTTAATCTATATTTTTGAAATGTCTTGGTCAGAAATTAAACTACAAATAATGAAATAGTTTTATTTCTTCATAAAGCCATTTGCTCACCGTGGGAAAATAATCGTGGTTTGATCAACCGAATCATGTGACAGAATTTCTCAAAGTATTTTTTTCACGAAATAATACACTGTGCAAGTCTTGCAGACTAATTATTGATTAAAAAATTAAGTAAATATCTCATTTTTGTTGCTGAATCAAGAATTCGGTAAACATGTAAAAATAAGGATTAACTTACATTTTTACGATGACGTTCAAACAGTTTGCTCACGTGATAATTTACTTTATGCATGAACGCCTTCGTGTTAATTCAAATTATCACCTGAACTGTTTGATCACATCATTAAAAAATAAAAATAGACAGTTATTCGGATATTCATAAAAATGTTTTACTTTGTTATTTATAAAAGTAAATAAATTACCAGACTGGTAAGTTTTGAAATATTAACTTCTGATTTACAGGTTTAATATTTGGATAACGAGTGTTCTCGATCACTCACCCATGTGATTTTAATTTCCTACCATACTTTTACCATAAAAGTCTTCGCTGTGTACTGTCTGATTATATAACCTGTCTTTACGATTCACATTATATTTGAGTAGAATATGGTTACAACTTTTAAAGGCTTTGGAGTTAACTCTAAGTATTTCAGGAGTATTCTAACCATAAAACCTGTCCACTCTGATGGATATGTACTTGGTAAACTGGTAGACGTGACACCACATGTCGGCACACTCCTCTTCTTCCTGCCAGATCCGCCCCCTCCCCGGGGTTTTACATTCACCCTTCCAGTAACACTTCCCTTGTTCTGCAAAATAAGGTATTGGGAATCGGTTACAATATTCATTAACTACACAATCAAAGAACTGTATGCGGTAAACGGATATTTTTGCCCCCATAAAATGCATATTTGAAAATCTCTAGAAATGTACACAACTGTATATATTGGATGAATATTCGTACTTGACAAAACATTATAGTTTGGAAATAGATTATCGTCAATGCTTGTTTCCAAAACTATTTAAATTTTACGTTATTTTCAAGATAAACGACAAAATGGACATTTGTTCAATTTTGTGTATTAATAGAATTTACTGAGCGCAAGCTTGCTCGATCAAGAAAAAAAAAATCACATATTTGATTGATATTATAATTCTATACATTACATTAAAAGATAGTACTAGGGCAGACCTGCGCTTAATGACTTTTAATCAAAATATCGACGTAAATTACACTTTTTTCTCTCTCAAAATCATTGAAAATTTCAATTACATCATCTTCTTGACGTCATATCTAACATACATGTATATTTAATGGGAGTTTTTCCATTATCAGACAAAAAAATATATCCAGATCGCCTACAGTCTCTCAGAAAACGGTAATTAACATATCCCTTACCTTTTCTTTAAAATAATATTAAATTGAATATAGGTATCGGGATGACTTTTGACATTATTTCAAATTGAATTCCATGAAAATGCTCTATTTTCTACACAATTTTGTTAAAGCCGTAAAGTATTGGAAGAATCAAGTTTAAATCAATTATGACGCCATTATGTATATAGCATCAAAAAGGCAGTCTAAATTCATTTAGTACATCTTGACCTTAAACTGAGATTTTGCCTTATATTTAATTTAAATCTTCCGTAATAGTAAAAAAAAAACTTAAAGAACTTGTCTGATCGGACAACCATGTCTGGAGAGTGACTTGTCCAATTACAAAATGAACTGGACAGAGACAATCGGACAAACATTAATTTAGCTGCAATAATGTGTAGCCCTCTCCTATTTTTTTAGGAGCCATAAAACTTAGATGAGCTCACTTTTGATCTCAGTCTCACTTTAACTAAAGGAATGTATAAGGGGAAAGTGAGACTGAGATCAAAAGTGAGATCATCTAAGTTTTATGGCCCCAGAGCCTGATATTTTCTGGAGAGGGCTACAACTCCACTGCATCTCCGTAATGGTGCAAATATATATATATATTTTTTAGATACGGGCGACTGAGGCAGAATAGATTGTTTTTGCATTCAACTTACTTCCAATAAGACGGAATTTTTATTCACTTTCAACATCATAGCCCTTTATACGCGAAAAGCAGGTAAAATAAATCTGCGTGCTTTACTCCTCAGCAGCCATGACAGTTCTCGCGTGATGTAGGCCTACTGAGACTTGCGCTTGAAATTTAGAATCACTTGATAAAGTAAATGTCGGTGTTGATAAATGGTTGTGTTGTATGGTATCACTTAACATCAATAAATAAATGCATCTCATGTGATATTTTTTCTTAAAACAAAGGAAATCCTAAACAGATTCGCTCCCTAGGTCCCGAATTCTCATCGGTTGTCCCAAAATAAAATCGATGAAGGTCAGTGAACATGGTGGATAAATTCACGATATATGCATTGTTCTTTATATTTTTGGATCAATTCATGTCTTGCATAACTATATTTTATGAGTTCAGGTAAGATATGTTAATAAAATAGCCACTTCCTGATAATTTGAGCCGAAATCTGTGCGGGAGTGAATCACTCCCGCACTTGCATCATTACGGAGATCCTAAGGACTTGTAGCCCTCTCCAAACTAAAAAAAAAAAAAAAAAAAAAATCGGAGAGGGCTACATTATTGCAGCTAACATTAATGTTGAGCCCTGAAACATGTACATTTCGTATTGATGTATATATAATGCTGATGTGGACTAAACAGTTATTCTAAATGCAAGTACATGTAGCACATGATTAGAAGGCAGGCTTGGGGTAATGCTAATTGTAATGGTAATGCATTGCAATGCAAAACTCGAAGTAATGCTAGTAATGTGTAATGCCCAAAAATTTGCATTACATGTAATGGTAATGTAATGCATTACTTTATCAAATCCCGAGTAATGCTGGCATTACATAGCATTACAAAGCATTATTTTGTATGTACCTATTTTAAAAAAATTGAAATGGACATGGAAATTATTGTTTAGGTTAAAAAAATATAAATGATAGAAATGAATGAAAAAAATTAACCTATTCAAATAAACTCTCTGTATCTATTTAAATACGCTTTTTATTCTATTGAAAATACAATTATCATACATATTTTAGATAAGATTTGATTTCAAAGAATTATTTATAAAAAAGTTTTTTTTTTTAAATCTATTTAAAAAATAATTCCGGTATGAGTTACACTAAATAAAGTTCACTGTTAACTGATAATTCCCACATTTTGAATAGCTAGAGCGTCATGAATCAAAACACACTATGCCAGGGGTTATGTAACAATTAAAACAATGCATTGTGTTGAGAAGTGCTCCAAATTACCAGTCCCTTTCTCCTGACTGTGTTTATAAAACATTTATTGAGCTGGTCTAGCTTGAGCTGACCATGACAAATTCGGTAACCACAAATCCATTGTACCAAAAAGAATACCATGTAGAAGACAAGCAGGCATTCTATGCTTAGCAGAGCAAAATGTACATACTGTCCAACCTTTTTACAAGTTTGTCAATGCATTTATTTTTTTTTTTTCATAAGGTACTAGATCCAAACAAGAAGTCTGTGAGCGAATGCTCACTAGTAATACCCCTGCTCTGATGTGAATATACCCTATCATGTTGACATCAAATTCAAACAGAAAATGAATTCCAACATATAGCATGCCTAAACAAAGAGTGTGCTAAAATTTCAATCATCTGTGATGAGTAGTTACTGGAAAAACTGCTAAAAATTTGGTATGGACAGACAAACGGATAAACAGGAAGTTGACATCGGATTTGAACAAAAATGAATCCCACCATATGGCATGCCTACACAAATAGTGTGCTAAAATTTCAATCATCTGCGATAAGTAGTTGCTGAGAAAATTGCGACGAAAATTTGTTACGGACAGACGTACGGATAAACAGGAAGTTGACATCAGATTTGAACAAAAATGAATCCCACCATATGGCATGCCTAAACAAAAGGTGTGCTAAAATTTCAATTATCTGCGATGAGTAGTTGCTGAGAAATTTGTTACGGACAGACACGCGGACACACAGACACACGGACAGACAGAAACAAAAGGGTAAAACAGTATACCCCTCCTCTCCTTCGGAGCGGGGGTATAATAATCTATGCTTTTTTACTAGATAGTTTTGGACAGGGGTTCAAGTGCCCCAAAAGTTAAATTGCTCTATGACATCAATAGTTACATAAAAAGTGCATATTGTACAGTCATCTTTTATCTTACTGACAATTGAAAAGTTTGAACTTCCTATGAATAATAAAAAGATATGTAAGTTATTTACAGTGTAATAAATACAATGCAAGTACTTGAAATCATAATTTGAATTATCATTCATTATGTTTAGTATTGAAGGGGTTGGATGCATGCTTATGAAAATAATTGCAAAGTTTATGAAAATACTTGCAAAGTTTTGTATTTCTATATTTAAAACCCCCAAAAGTAATGGTAATGGTAATGTAATGCATTACTTTAAGAAATTAGAGTAATGGCAATGGTAATTTAATGCCCAAATTCTTGAAGTAATGTAATGTAATGCATTACTTTACAATGTAATTCGCCCCAAGCCTGTTAGTACCATGTTCAGCTCTAAGGAAATATCTTAACAAATTAATCGACAGTTTGCCAAACATATTGTTTTGGATTTTTTCAAGAAACCATAAATTTTGTTGAATATTGTGCGGAATGACAAACAGACGGACGGACGAACACGGTTGAAACATAATACTTTCCAACATATTACTATGCACATATACATTACAGTTATTAAAAAAAAGAATTTTTTCAGTAAAGACTTTAAAATTGATGACCATTTTCGTTTTGGTTGACAGAAGGCAATGCAAGGCTGTATACATAGTCTTTCTATGATTTGATTGATCCCCACACCTACCTGTGCACTCTTTTACTGCTGATGGATCCGCGCCTTGACCCTTTGTCCACGTGATTAGCAGACTCAAACACAAAAACTGGAACGTTTGTGACGTCATATTTACAATTAAAAAATTGTTAATCTGCAAGATTGTCATTAAAATATTATAATAGAGTTAAAACAAATCAAAACAAACACATACCAAAGATATTAAAATTATAATGATTATGAAATTAAAAATGAAACTGCTAAAACAATTCACAGGTGCTTGGGACCCCCCCCCCCTCGTGTTCCGTACCCCAAAGGTTCTTTGACTTTTATAAGATAAAATATTTTTCTATGACACATTCACAAAGCATTGCAACATAAAAATCCAAAATACATGTATAACCTAAAACTAGCCTTTGATGAAAATTCACACTTTCTGATACTAAACTCTTTTATTTATTTAGTATCAAAGAGTGTGAATTAAAATTTAAAAAAAAGGGGGGGGGCTAGTTTTAAGTTATATTTTGGATTTTTCAGTTGTGATACTTTGAAAATGTGTCATAGAAAAAATGATTAATAAAAAAGTTAAAAAAAAACCTTGTGGTACGGAACACAGAGGGGGGGTGGGGGGGGGGGTGGGGTGGTCCCGTCCCCAAGCACCCGTGAAACAATTGAATATGTTAAAATTTGCAGGGGTACAATAGTTGGATTTAAAAGAGCTTTAATATCGAAAGTAAATTCCATAACCTCTAAGATCTTATTTGTAGAAGTTATTACATAGTAATTATATTCTAAACACAGGCTTGCTAAACACATTTACTTGCATTTTTGATTTTATTTTAATGCAACTAAACGGAACATTTCATTCTAAATTGTATCCTGAAAATGTCCGAGGTAGAATTCATATTTTTTAAACAAGTATTAATATTTTCCATAGTAATTGAATAAGCTTTCAAATTAATTTTAACATACCCATGTTCATATTTCCTTAATTAGTTTATCCTGCATCCAAATTAAAGTATTAAACATGCTTTGTAATATAGATATGTCATGCACACAGTTTACATGTATATACTTACATACAGTTCAGTGCGAATATTTCCTCCTTCACAATTTTTGTTTTATTTCTTTATGACACATTATAGGTGATTTATTGACCCCCTGATGTATGCATGTGAGGCCATATTGAGTGCTAAATTGACAATTAAGATAAATTGTTATCCGATATAGAAAAACTGTAGTTATTAAAAATCGGATTATGGAGGTGACTGACTTAAAAAATGGCTTTCTAACGATTTCTATCTTTGCACAGGAGGTATACGTAATAGTTATTGTCCATATATCAACATAAAATTGAGCAATATTGAATAGCAGTATGGTTTTCTTACCACTGACAATTTCAAACCCCCTCATAAAAAAAAAAAATTATAATAGCAGGTTTAATGACGGGAATGGATCCATGATAAAGGGCGGATTCAGGATTTCTTTTTCGGGGAGAGGGTCTCCATAGACTCGGAATTTTTTGACAAGCAAAAAAAAAAAAAAAAAAAAAAAATCCAAACAAACAACCAACCAAACAAAAAACTCCAAACAAACAAAAAACGGCCTTACCAAAACCTAAATATAAATAAAATCTTATTTCATGGCGGGGGGGGGGGGGGGGTTCTGTGTAAAAGACGACATTCATTTTTTTTCTTTTAGATGACCCTCCTTACCTTTTAAAGGGATTCCCAAGGGGGTGAGTCCAAGTTCATTTTTTTTACTTATACATCAAAATAATTCAAAGGGGGTTATAGACCCCCTGATCTCTTTAGATCCGCCCATGAAGATTTTTGGTTCGCGACGGCACGTGTGGATAGTTTATCTTGGAAGGCCTCAGGCATTTTTTAGGGAATCTTTTTTTTTCTGATTTCTTTATGATAGAAAAATAGCAAATAATTCATTAGATTGTGATATATTTTGTCATGTAAGTTTCTTCCCATCATTCGATAAAAAAAAAAATGAACAGGAAATTGTCCACTTTCCTTTTTACTGGCGTCCCCGAGTCGTGAACTTCCCGGAAACTCTTCGATTTTGTTGAGTCCTTCTTGAGAATTTTGCTGTCATAATTAAAATCATATCTTGCAATTTGCATATTGCTATTGCTGTTTGATCTGGCAATTAATAAAATAGTTGATGATAGTATAATTATTGAGATGATTTTATTTTGGATTTTCATATCATAAAGCTGTATCCCATATAGTTACTATATATATATATATATATATATATATATATATATATATATATATATATATATATATATATATATATATATATATATATATATATATATATATATATATATATATATATATATATATATATATATATATATATATATATTGAGAAAGATGGTATAATTGTTTTTAATTTATTATAAAATACGGGGACACACACACATATAAAAAATGCGTCCCTAGGTACTATTAATAAAACAGTTTCACGGTTTAACTCCTTAATTTTTTTTGTGAAAATGGATTTAAATTAGAAATCTCGCAGAGGTAAACATGTAGAAATAATTACCCTCTGTTAACTTTAAGAATGGCACCCTTTCACATGTTTTGATACTATAGTTGACGCTCAGTTCCGAGTCTGTGTACATAGCTATAGAACTTATAGTTGATGCCCCCCCCCCTTCCCACTGAAACATAAAGTTGCAAATACGCATGTTTTGCTCTAATATTGACAATTCAAGGAATGCGGGACAAGCAACAAATTGCTAACGATCACTATTATCCTTATATACAATACACTGCATGCGACACCTGGTGGGCCCTGGGCATTTTTCAACATGCTGTGTTATTTTGAAGATGAATTTTATTTTAAACGCCAAAAATGTTTTACTTCTCTAAGTATTTCTTATTTAAATAAAATAGAAAAAAAATTGTATGACAATATGTAATTCTTTACTTTTCATTCACAGGAAACCCAGAATATGGATATTTCTTAATGTGAATGCGTTCATAAGTACAAGAAATCAGTCATTGAAAGTTCATTCTTATTTTCATGACTTGGCAAGTTAAGGTGTTAGGATTTTGTGATCGACATCCGATCCATAAATTGTCAAACATGTCCACATGAAGAGCCTCTGGACGTTGTACGGATATTTCTTCATCTGGACAAAAAATCAAGGAAATAAACACCCCAGACTTAGAAATCATGTGAACGCGATTATTCATACAGTCGGAGATTAAGATGTTTCCAAATTTGTCGTGTGTTATGTATTTTAGGTCCATTTCTTCATTTGCTGAGACAGAGGGCGGTCGCTCGTATGTAAATAACTTCTTTCCAAAGGTGTTAAGTGCTACAACACGGCCTGAAAAATGGCTTTGTCGGTCAATAACACACAGACTTCCATCAATGTTTTCTGTCAGGCATGATGGGTAATGAAATATGAATTTCCCAACATTCTCTTCGAACTGGAAAAAGTTCAAAACTTGACCTGTTTTTGAAATTCGAAGAATACCTCTCTCCGTATTTTTAGACATGTCCTTTGAATAGCGTTCACTTGCGCATGCGTATACGTCGCCGTTCTGTGATACTTCCAGACCCAAGGGAAAAAGTTTTCTTGTATCGACAAACACGACGCCCTTGTCATCGACGTGTTGAACATCATACGCACGTATTTCGTGAATACTAACAAAGGTCATCAAAACCACAGTGTTCTCTTTCGTGAAGGCAAGACTGTACACGAATCCTTTGTTAACTTTATATTTTATTGCGCTCTTATTTTTGCTGTGTGGGACATGAAGTCGAAGTGTTGAGGGGGTCTGGACACCGGACACCCACGTTTCGTCCTCTAACAGGTTCCTTAAAGTCGAAATTGTCCCCAAACTTATCTGAAAAACGCCGTAGAGTTCGAATGCAGGAACAACATGGCAATCTCCAAGAATATTTAAATGTTCACTCTGTGCCAGGAATTTTGATTTTCTAGCTGATATTTTATTTTCTTCCAAAGATCCTCGGACATTTTTCTCGTATTTGCTTTGCAGTTTTCTGTATAATTGAATATTTCTAACCATATTCCCATCCTTTTGCACATTTACAATATTCTGCAAGTCCTTCCGCGTGCCTGATAAGTTTTCTAAGACCTTCTTTTGTCTTTCTTCTGCTTTTTTCAGATCTGATTCCAAAATCAGTAAAAGTTGGTCCCTATCTCTGTCAAGCCTCTCCTTACAGCTTAAGTAATGACCTTGAATTTCAGATTCAGTGAGGCTGTTTAATTCCTGTATCTTTTTTACACTCTTTTCTGCGCTTTCACTTTCTTTTAACAAAACCGCCATCTTTTTTTCTATCTTTTCGTCTTTGATTTGCAGAATCATTTTACTACAAACTTCGTGTAGATCGGATAAATCTTCGAAAGTGTGACCTTTGTGAGTTGATACTATACATTTTAGACAAACTAGCTGATCACATTGGCTACAGCTTGCTGTAAATGTCTGTCCGGTATGAAACTGACATGCCTCGAGCTCTTGATCGTCTGGTGTCATATGCTGTATGTCACCAACAAAGTCCGATGTCTCCTCGTGTGACATATTTTTATCCGTTTTCACTTTTGTACAAACCTGTAAAGCAAATAATACGTACATGTATATTTTATCTACAAATAGTTCATCCATTAAACCACAAATAAGGCCTTTGTTAGGAATTTGAATACTTGTAATGTCCCTAGTCAGTATTTTATACATTTTACTGAAGGAATTAACAGCGTTTTCACACAACAATTACCAAGTAAATAAATACATTTACACAACTTATAGTAAGGATATAGATAAACATGTGTACACTTACCTATTTCAGAGGCACATGTTAGCAGTGATGTATACAGTACGGACCAGAAAATTGATGTGTTTAAGCTCTGTATACATATTAATGTGTTTCCCGAACTTGCGGAAATACACACTTCAGTGTGATTATTCCAGTATAGACATTATAGCTTAGTTTTCCTCTCATTCAGTTCACTAAATTTAATGTTTTTTCTGCAGTTAGGAATGAAAATATCCAGACGGGAGCAACCCTCCCCCCTCCCCCCATAAGACTCAGTCATGAAACTTGCTTCGAATTCTGTTTGTTTCTTTTCTTAAGAGTCTTATTTCGGGGAAGGGGTGGGGATTAATTTCTTTACATACAACAAGTGCTTTTCCGCCAACACTTTAATTAATATATAAATTCTGAATATTTATTTATCCATTTGCTTAATGGTAGACCAGTATATTTTCCCATAGATTCCACATCTTCATTCTCTAATCAATATACACGTATAATTAATGTAATCGACGAGCCGGTAGAACGCGGGGTGGGGGGGGGAGGGCCCTCCCCCCCCCCCACACACACACATTTTGATGTTATAAGGTCCAGCATTGGCAAATTAATTACAGGTTGTGGACAGTAAATTAGCTTTTTTTGCTTGTCAGATAATTTTGGGAAGTTACCCCCCCCCCCCACACACACGCACAAACCTTGATCGGAATAAAATATCTAACTGCATGGGAAAATAATTACATGTCGGAAAAAATTATCCTGTACGCTGTTAGTTTCAGATTGAATGATTCACTTGGTTTTGCATATAGGGAAAAGAGTACCAATTGTTTCCCATAGAACATATACAAACCTTATGCCCTCCTAATTCCTGGTATTATTTGAAACTTCATCCTAAGCACTTATTAAAAGCACTTAAAAAATATACCGTGCCTTGGCGTATATATAGAGGTTATTTAATTATGGTTCCAAACCCCAAAAAGAGAGATGGAAAGTAACCGGATGGAAATTTTATATACCTGCACCATACATCAGACTGTCTGAGGACATTCACAAGCATCATATGGTTTTGGAGACTCCGTCAAATGCAGAAAGAGGAGAAATGCTTAAATGAGTTCTGGGTGCCACGCCCCCTTAGGCCAAGGGAGTCGAAGAATGAAAATTTTCCAGAGCTACCGAGAATGAATCAGAGCAGAAAGTCCAATTTTGAATAAAGTAATGACAGTAAAGCAATATTAATTTTCTCAAATATTCTTTCCAATGAACTATAATTACTTATACATGTATAATATCTCTGCTACATGGCTAGGGCGGGGTACACATTGCATACTATTACATGTAAATACATGCACGGTCAAATTAAATGCCATATCAGCATTCAAAAGAAAAAAAAAATTAGTAGCATTAATTAAATTTTAAAATTCTCTCTGTCTTGCGAGATAGTCTAAGGGAAGTAACTCTAATATCTGCTCTCATGCTCTGTATTGTTGAATATCTACTAAGGCTGGCTAACCAAAATTCCCACAGACTGCCACATCTAAGAAAGACAGCAGAGATGTGGACGAGGTCAGGCGACTCCACCAGCAAGAGAAACCAGGCTGAGATGGACCATCTGGCGTCCGAAGAGAGGTTAGGTCTGGGAAGTAGATTGGGGATTTGTACTCGTTTTCCTTCACAGTGACGTGTGTTACATGTAGTAGCTCAACACATGCAAAGAAAAGTTCTCCGATTTTGACACTGCATGATAAACTAACAAAAATCATTTATGTAATTTACGCTAATCACAGACAATCCCCAAAGACAATTAAGAGCAACAGCTTTGAGGGGGAGGGGGGTTTGAGGGGGAGGGGGGGGGTCCTATGGACGCGAACAGATGCTTCGATGTTTTCATCTTACTCAGACAAATTTCATTCGGGCTTGTTTCTCTCATTGAAAAGCATCAATCAAATTGGAGTAGACAGATAATGTAAACAGAAAGCAATCGGCAATCCTCGGCTGATTCCGCTACGCTCCATACAAACAGTGTGCTTTCCCGTAGCTGCAGTAGGTCCCGCAAGATATCAAATGAAATTTGTCGTTGGGGCAACGGCAACGTGTTGACTCAGGACCCCTGATGTTGTGAAGACGAGTCGACATATGAATGGAAGTAACTACATATGTATCGTTAATTGATAATATGTCGTCGATATATCTAAATGTCGACTTGAAGCCATAGCAAGTGTTTTCTTCATCTCATGTAGAAGTTTTGAATAAATTCTGCTTCATATGAATACAAAAATATGTCTGCTAATAAGGGGGTCAATTGGTACCCATGGAAATTCCAACAGATTGTTGGAAGACCTGATCTCCAAAATCTACATAGATATTGCAATCAGAAACTCAAGCATCTTTTCAATATCAGCTTCAGAGTACGTGTGTATACAATCAGAATATTTTCTAACAAAATAACTTTGCAAATGATCAATGACAAGGTATGTAAACTAAGTATATGTACGAGTTCCATTTTTTTTTTTAAAAAAAAGCAGCTGTCTATGATGTCAAAAAGCCTGGATTTTGATTTATCGTGGGGAATGGTTGTATACATAGTTGAAAAGTCGTACGTTTTGATGTTATTGATTTTATAAAAATTTTGGGATTTCAAATTTTCTAAAAGTTCCTTTGAGTTTTTAAGTATCCACATCTGATTTACACTTCTTCTCGAATATACTGTTGTAGAGTACTCCGGTCCTGAAGTTTCTCTTTTACTGCTGTAAATATTTTAGTGAGGAGTAAAGAAGGAGGTTTGGTTTGGTTTGAACCCGCTATGTATCTTTGCTTGCAAGGATTTTTATGATGTTTTGGAATCCAGTATAGGTATATTAATTCAAATTCATTTTTATTGTTGGGAATATTAAAAATATTTAAAAAAAAAAAGAAGCTCATTTTATTCTTAAATTTATTTATGATTTTTTTTAATGTCTCCGAAAACTATTTTCCTTTTCGCACTACTTTGTTTTACAAAAATTACTGCCTTCATATCCCTAGCTACTTTGCTTTCTAACAGCAGAAGAAAAGTTCAAAGTCCAAGTTTCGAACATTCCTTTGATTTTTTTCCCTTTTTACTCATGGCCATAGGAACAGGGGGTCACTTGGGGGGGGGGGGCGTGCCCCCTAATAGTTTTACCGATATACAGATTACTATAGTAAACATAGATACAATATGCTTGTGCCCCTCAATAAAAACGTCTGATGACCTTTTTTTTTTTTTTTTTTTTTTTTTTTGCTTGTCAGGAAATTTTTGGTAGTGCCCCCCCCCCCAACTGTCAACTGAAAATGTATGGCTGTGCCCCCCCCCCCAACTGAAATTGCTTCCTACGGGCCTATGTTACTATTTTTTAAAAATAATTTATAGGCTAATTATTTTTACTATGAGCTCACATGACGTAGAATCTATCAACCCCCCCCCCCCCCTTTACAAAAAAAAAAATAAAATAAATAAATAAATAAAATAAAAAGCGTCTAATTATTCTATTGACGCTCTGTTTCCTAATTTTTAATTTAAAGTCTGTAAAAATTTTCGATTCATTCCTCAAAGCCATTGTCATCGGGAATAACAAGGATTAGCGTAAATACATGTCTATATTGAATTTCCACTTTTAACGAGTTCACCCTTAAAGCCCGAATAAAAAAGCCCTACAATTCTTGGCATGATTTAAACCTATATAATGTCTTTCTAAGTGAAATATCCTATTGAATATTTTTTTATTTAATGTATCTATTTACTTTTTTATATGTTGGTCAATTTTAATTCAACAAAGTAAAATTTACGGTGTTCGATATAGTGGACGAGTTGTCTTTAATTTGTGTCGGGCTCGGAAATCCGAAATGTTTACATAAGGTAAACAAACAAAACAACAGCATGGTCATCTATGAATTTGAAGTTTGAATTTATGTGTATCATCAGTGTATGAATTAACGTAAGCATTGGGAAACTTTTGTCACAAGTATTTTTTGCGTAAATTGTAAGTGTCACTACAATCAGTGTGAATTAGATTACTGTAGATCAGGGGCGCCAGTGGCTACATGCTTGACATGTATGATATCAGGATATTGATCATGAACATCATTACATGACTGTGTAGGCAGGTCCAGTACAATCAGTACATTTAGCTACGTAGCTAAAATTACCTACCATAGCTTTATTTACCTACATCAGGTAGCTTTATTTAGCCATTTCAAGGCAACTTTTCACAATTTTGCTTTTTATTTTAAAAAGACAAAAAGTCGCAAGTATCTATTCTAAGTATTATTTAAAAAGCAATCTAACGCAGAGGTAGTTTTAACATTGCTGCATTTGAACACTTTTAAGGAAAAGATGTATTTTCATTGTTTGAGTAACTGTCCACCACCTTGAGGAATGGATAAGTATGATTACTTCACATTGTGCTCATGTTAACCAAAACTGGTTTTCTTTGTTATTTCACTCAAGAAGTAACTGTTAGGTCACAAATTAACTGTTGTATCTAACCCCAAAACTTTTAGAACTTTGATTGCAATTGCGCAGAAAAAGACACATCTCCAAGAGTGATTTTTTCATGAATTGTTTCAGATGAGTTCAAAGTTGAAAATTATCACTGCATCAAAGTGCAATTTTCTGTACTTTCTGGGATAAATGCAAATTCAAGAAATAAGTTTGATTTAGTAGCTAAATAAAGCTACTTCAGGTAGGTAAATAAAGCTATGTAGGTAATTCAAGCTACATGTAAGTAGCTAAATCTAGTGATTGTACCAGACCTAGTAGGATAGCAAATCATGCAGAATTTATTTAATTGACTTCTTAGAAGCAAAGGATGATAAGAAGCCATTTACATGTACACGGATAAATGGGAGGTACTACACGTATAGTGGAATTCGTTCCTTTCCTTGTCATGGGTGGATATTGGGGGAGATACATTGTACCTTGATTTTCAATGTTATGACACCCACTTGCATTTAAATATAAGACATAATTTTGGAAATCTTTTATTAACTATAAAAAATTTTGCATCTGAAAAGAGAAAAGAGAAATTTAACATTAATTATCATACACTCCCTCTATCTGCAGTACTGTAGCAGACTCTGGTTGAGAAAATTCGGACAGATAAACCTGTTCATTGTGTTTGGCTCATGTATGATTGACATAGGATGTTCAAATAATGCTCCAATCACACACAAAAAAATGAAATGACCTCCTACTTAGTTAATAAGCTACCTGTGTGACTGTTCTTTTTTTTTTTTTTTTTTTTTTTTACTTTTGAGTTGTTTAATTTCATCTCAAAAAACAAGGCTAATTTCACAAAAATTGAGTGCATTTCAAAGCAGAAGTAAATGAGAGATCCAAGATTTTAACTTTAATTAACTCCTTTTACATTATAATTTGATTTTCTGTATTGTCAACTTTTTCAGGTAGTCTATCTATTTAAGAATATTGTACTTAAAGCATCATGAATGAAATTGAAGTTTATTCAGATGATGCAGTTCATATTTTACAAGTGGAATAATATTCAAGATGAAAAAGGTGTCTTAAAAAACAGTGATCAATCTAAAGCTTGTAAATCTGTAAAGTATGTGAACTGTGAACAGGGCAAAAACACTGGCCCCCTTGAAACACCCTTGGTGGGATCAGGTGCCTTAGAAGAGTAAGCTTCCCTTGTTGGCCAGTTATCCCCTAGGAGAACACATTATTGATCAATTCAAAGTTTTTTGGGGGGAACAGCATGGAGGAGAAGTAAGGATTAAAATTGCTCAGTATTGTAGGGAAATAATTTTTGAAATTACAAGTAGATCCATCATCTAACAGTCACCAAAATCTATAATGTTCTATTCATGGTTTCTTTCAATCTGTCATTTATAGACTATTAATTTATTTCAATACAATATTACTTGTTCATGTGCAATATAAAAATTTGGTTTATATTTTAAACAGTGTGTTTGCCAAAAGACATAGACTTGCAACACCATTGCCATGGAAGATTTCAGCACACAGTCTATGGTACAAACATGTTCCAATTGTGCTGGGGACACAGAATTCTACTGCAAGACATGTAAAAGTAATCTATGTCCACAATGTAAAGAGGGACACGTTATTGATTTAGACACAGTATACCATGATGTGATATACAGTGAGAAATTTGAATTCATCCACAAAGCAGAGACTTGTGGAAGACATCCAGATATGATATATGATATATATTGTCAGTCTTGTAAACTTTCTGTCTGTAATCTTTGTACAGAACATAAAAATCATGATAAACTGGATCTTAAAACTGCATATAGAATAACCCGACAAGAACACAAAGAAACCATTCACAGAATCAGAAGCGAGATTCTCTCTAAGAACCATATTCTCTTATCAGGAATTCGAAAACAGAGGAAGATATGGAATGCAAAAATCTCAGACATTCAATCAGTAATGTTCTTAAAAGCTACAAGACTAAAGGATCTCGTTAATGTCGTGTTGTTTAATGCTAAAACAAAATGTAATCTCATTTTGATTCATAGATTGCAACATCAGAAGAGAAAACTAAATAGACTCCTTGCCAATGTTGAGCACTATGAACACAAGTCTGATCAGTTGTCTAACAAACCAGTAACCTTTCTTTTATTCTACAAGGAAACTTTCATCAACGAGATCAAGGAAACTGTAAAGCTAAAGCAAATGCCTCTTCTCTCAATGAATGAGGAATTAAACAAAGATGGTGTGCTTCTGTTACTAAAAGAAATCCAATGCAACACAGTTAGAACACAAGTAGGAAATGAACAGCTGCTGAGAATGATGACTAAGGCTGACTTGCAGAAATCAGTCAAAGTCACAGATATAAGTTATGGTCGTCATATTTCTCTTGTGACACCGAATAAATTCTGGGTCAGTGATTGGACCAACCTCATCTTGACAGACACATCAGGTGAAACTCTTCAATGTGTAACAGACAAAGATGAATCTGGGGGTGTGCACACAGTATCAAATGCTGGAGAACTTATCTATATTGACAGCAAAACAAATATCGTCAAAATTCTAACAGACAGCAGAACAAAGGTCAAGTTAATAAAGATAATTGATTCATGGAGACCCCGCAGTCTCTACTTCTCTTCTTTTTCTGGAGATCTGCTTGTTGGGATGAGTAGATACTATACAGATATAATAGGCAAAGTAACTCGGTATGATAGCACTGGACAAGAAATCCAGACTGTTCAATTCAACAACAAAGGTCAGCCTTTGTTTGGTGATCCGAAGTACCTCACACAGAACTGCAATGGAGATATTATTGTGTCAGACTATATTCTTAGAGCAGTAGTGGTGACAGACTCTGGAGGCAATCATCGGTTCTCTTACACAGGGCCTCCATTAGGTTCAGGACTAGTACGACCAGGATCGGGACTACAACCAGCAGGAATCTGTACAGACGGGCTTTCACACATCCTGGTGTGTGATACCTTCAATGACACAATACATATCATTGATAAGGACGGCCACTTCCTGTCACTTCTGTTGACCAAACAAGAGAGTATAAATAAGCTGTATGGCCTCTGCTATGACTACAAAACTCATCTTCTCTATGTTGGTCGTGGGTCATCAGATTGCACTGACATAGTGTCTGTATATAGATACATACAAAGGCAATACATTTTGACAGGTATGTATTAATTACTTATCCACTAATTAATTAATTAATTATCTATTTAGATTATGCACAGAAAATGCTACTATTTATAGTGTTTAAGTATATGTAGTTACACAACTGTATTCTGTAAAATTGCCCCCATACTGTAAAACATTTTTTTTTTCATTTTGATGAGTTGGCTATCTATATGATTGAATATTCATGATGACTGTGTCTTCTGAATCATACTATAAGAAAAAATGTTCAAGCACTTTGAGCTAGGATACTACATAGATTGTTATACCCTTACTAATATCTCATTATATGAATGCTACAGAAAAAATACAATCTGATGAAACAGTTGCAGTCCAAATATTTTGATAAATGTCCAATAAATCAGATATTATCATGATTATGAAGAGAGGTTCGACAATTTTGAAATTGGATGGGCTACTGTGCAGATCTGAAAATAATAAGACCACTTACATCACATCATTAGAAGTTGTTAATTTTAAGATCTAATTTATGCATAAGTTGTTAGTTTCCAGAACTATTAATGCACGTAAGTCGTCCATTCATATAAAGCTGGCAGCCCAATTTTCAATATATAAAGTGTAAAATAACTGAGTATCAGGTTAAAATATATTATGATTCGTTGGATCATCAGCCAAAATTGTTTTACTCAGGCTTTGGCTTCAAGCAAACTCTTGTCTTAAGGTCAGATGTCTACAGGTCAGTAACTGCAATGAAATTAAAAAGTTATTTATGATATATAAGAAAAATAAATTGTTAAATATATAAGAGATATTTTTACCACCTGGATTCAATTCCTGCACAAAGTGCTAGTAAATTTTGTCTACTTTTTGCTGTAGAATTACCAGTAGAAAGGCATTGTTTGGTACTCACATTTTTAGTACTTTTTTATTGATAAAACAAGATGTGTTTGTGAAACACTGATACCCCCGTATGGCAACTTAAAGCGAAGGTTAAACTTTCTCAAATGCAAATCAAATATGTTGGTACCCAAAGTAAGGTCTTATCCCGAGGAATATACCTGTGAAATATGAAAGCCCTAGCACCAACCATTCAAAAGATATGGCCAAACCTGTTCAAGTTTTTCAAAAGTAGGTCAAACTCCAAAGGTCAAGGTCAAAATGGTCAAAGTTGTTGGTATCCAAAGGAAGGTCTTGTCACAAGGATTACAAGTATGAAGTATGAAAGCCCTCACACAAACCGTTCAAAAGTTATGACCAAGGTTAAAAGGCCAAGGAAAGGGCAAAACTATAAACCCCCGAATCTTCCATACCGGTGCATAATAATACTGCATGAAACATTCAATTCAGAATTTGAACGTTATTTTATATATATGAACATGTTGAAGCCATAGTACTTTTCCCAAATTATTTATTTTATGTATTTTATAGCAAAGCATTGCCTATTTTTTTCTTTTTAATGAAAAATATTTGGACATATATTGAGACAGCCTCTGCCAATTTGAAAGGACCCTTCAATCCTTTAGCTCATTATGTATTAATTGTTTTTTGTATTAATTATTTTGCAAGAATGATTTTTTTTAGATGATGACAATTGATAAAAGTGTCAGGCAATTATTTTAAAGGTGAGTAGGAAAAAGGTTATAATTATTTCATTTTTCTTTTCATTACAAAAAAAACTATTAACTGTAAAGTATATGCTTTCTTTGAGGTAAAACTACATGTACATTTTCTGGTCGCAAAATGTTCAGAAAAAGTGTGATATTTATGTTGCTGATGTTTCTTAAGTAGGCTTTATGAATATTTGTTTGCTTAAAGCTTGAAATTTTTTCGGGGGTGAGGGCAAACAAATTTTTGTTAATAATCACTGCACATTGTGAATAGACTTTAAATACATACATTGTACTATATAATACTTGTGTTTATATTTCTTTAAAATGCTGGTACGTGTATTTTGTTTACGTTAGATGAATGTATGTAAATATGGTTATGTGATTGATGTGTTCTTCAGTAATCAGCATTTTCTTTTTAAAATACTTTGCAATACATTTGATTTGTCAACACTTTTGAAGCATAAACATGTAAAATATATACAAATTGTTAATATTAATTTTTTGACACTTTTAATGATTATCAGAAAACTACCACGCTGATGCATACACAACGTAATTTATTTTATCAATTTGAAATATTATACATCCTATGTCAAATTGCATTTATTGAATTTTGAAACATGTTGTTAAATATCATACAAATTATAGATACATTTATCCAAAATATTCATAAAATATCATCTCTGTCGACTAACTGTTTAGTCATAAATGTTTTAATATTGAATATTCACTTGATGTTGCACATCATTGTCTATAGAATCAATGAATACAAAAGAAATAACCACATGTTGGAATTTATTTCTTAAAAAAGCATTACATCATGATGAAATATTATCCTACACTTAATTGATACCTTAAACATGCGCACATCCCCTATTGAATTTTTTTTTCTATAAACATGATAAATAAGGATGAATACTGCATTCTTCCTGCGTACTACTGAGTTTTGATGGAAACAATGCTGCTAGCACACCTCGTTGTTGTTTCCTTTCTGGTCAACTTCTGCGCATGTCTGGAGAGCAATGACAACTTTACAGGTAATATTTCTGGTATGTAAATATTGATAGGTTGTAGAGAATATTCGAAATCGGGTATTATCCTTGAAATCGCGTAAAATCCCTTATATCGGGTATCGTTGAATCTGCAAATTAGGTTATCGCATGAAACTTTCTGTAGAAACAGAAAATTAAAGCAACGGCGCATGATGTCAGGCCATCTTTAAAAAAATGTTTTTTCCCCTCTCCCAACTCAGGGTAAAAATATTGGGTGATAGGTAGGTGCGAAAATTTTTTTCCCAGAAAATTTCAACATACTTATTGACGGGATGAGAAAACTCATAGAAAAAAAATCGTTTCCTTGAGGTTAAAAAATTTTTGAGTCGGGCCATTTTTAGCCATTTGGTTGGGAGAGGGCAAACAAAATATTTTTTGGTCACCTGAGTTTACTCAGGTGACCTATTGCTACATGTACATGTATCTTTTTTCGTCCGTCATCGTCCAACGTTCGTCGTGTGTTGTGCGTCGTGTGTTAACATTTGTATATTTTCAGCTTCTGCTCTGGAACCACTGAACCAATTTCAACCAATTTTGGCATATAGCATCTATGGGTGAAGGGAAACAAATATTGTGAAATTCATGGCCTCTACCCCCCTGGGGCCTGAGGGACTTGGGCTAAAAATATGAAAATTAGTGCAATCTTTAAAAATCTTCTTTACTTCTGGACATCAAGCAGTCAAACTACTGGCATGATTGTAATAAGCATTGAGTCCTCTACCAAAATTGTGAAATTCATGGAAATTCATCCTGGGTCAGGGGTTCTGGAGTTAGGGTGGGGCTCTAATGATTATATAGTGAAAATGCATTAATTCTTTGAAAATCTTCTTCTCTGCTCCTGGGTATTAAGCTGCTGAACTAAGTACATAGTTATGGTCAGGAAGAGTGCCTCTTTCAAAATTGTGAATTTCATGGCCCCTGTATCAGGGGTTCTGGGGTTAGGGTGGGGCTCTAATGATTATATAGTGAAAATGCATTAATTCTTTAAAAATCTTCTACTCTGCTTCTGGGTATTAATGAAACAAATTAATGCATAGTTATGATGGGGACAGACGCCTCTTCCAAAATTGTGAATATCATTGCCCCTGGGTCAGGGGTTCTGGAGTTAGGGCGGGACTCTAATTATTATATAGTGAAATGCATTAGTTCTTTGAAAATCTTTTCCTCTGCTCAAGGGTATTAAGGAAACAAACTAAATGCATAATCATGATGAGGAAGGGTGCCTCTTCCAAAATTGTGAATGATGTGGCCCGTGGGTCAGGAGTTCTGTGGAGGGGGGTATTTAATATATACTAAAAATAAAATAATGTTCTTTTGCTCCCGGGTATTAAGCAAACAAATTAAAGCATAGTTATGATGAGAAAAGTTGCCTCTTCCAACATTGGGAATTTCATGGCCCCTCACTCAGTGGTTCTGGTATTTGGACAGGACTCTATTGAGTAAACAGCAATAATGCATTTAATATTTTGAAAATCTTCTCCATTAATCAAACAGACTAAATGGAATTATATAAATGTAAATGTTTAAATGTAAATATAAGTAAATGTGCCTTTTCTCTGCTCCTGGGTATCTAGGAGGCAGAGTACAAAATATGTAATAAGTGAAGCAAATGAGAGTTACTTCCCTTTACTAAATTGTGTTTAATCAAGAAATTCTTCTGTTTAATTTAATTAACAGATTATTTGATTGAATGAGAACACAAGAAAGAATTTTATATATATTGAATAAAAATAAATGTTTAGTTTAAATGAGCAAAGCATGCTCAAAGTCAAATTCTTGCTTGGCAAGCAATATAAAAGATAGACATAAAGATTATTTATGTAGCAAAGGGCCAGTTGTACAGTTGTACAAATACAATTTATCATTGAGTCAAATGCTGACTGACGTTTTTCATACGAATTGTTAGGCCATTATTTACAAACTGAATTGTCGACAGATTTTTCCGTTATTTCCCGATCATGACAAGGAACACACGGCGGGTTTGACCGGTCGGCAGTGGATGCTCACTCCTCCATGGCACCTGATTCCACCTCTGATGTTTTGGAGGTCCGTGTTTGCTCTGCACCTATTTTGTAATGTTAATGGACTTTTGAGCTTGAAAACTGTTCGTTATCTCCATATATTTCATTGTACTTAGTATGTGTACACTGGGTTGTCCTGTTTAATGATAAAAAGAAATGTGGTCAGTTAAATTCATGGAGATTAGAGTTTAGATTGCTAGAGTCTGCTTGAAGTTGCGAGTGTTGGTAGCAAGTATTACTAAGTTTATTGTATAGCCAAGACGCAAGTGTTGGTACCAAGTGTTACCAAGTGGCAAGCAGCTAAGTTGTTTGTGTAGCCAAGAGGCATCACCTCAAGTAAATATACAGGCATTCGAGATTTCTCTGTGTACTTAATTGTAGCACTAGGCAAGTGACAAAAACAGTATCTGTACATATTGAATACCTTACACACTAGGCAAGTGTGCATTGTATGTGTAAATTTCGCATTCATTATCATACATGTAAGACTTGGGCAAACCAAGTATGATCCCAAGGAGATCACTCGGGTCTCACTTGTTACAATAAGAAAGGGTAATTTTACCAGGTTTTTGAAATTCTTGGGCAAAATGTATTCAATTATCAGTTAATTTTGTTTTATACTTCTGTAAATCCTTTATAGTATTGTATTATACTCAGGTGACCGTTAAGGCCCTTGGGCCTCTTGTTTCAAGATGGCCTTAGTTATAGCGTTAGATAAACATCAGTGTCTTAAGGGTTTATATTTATTAAACCCAATTTACAGGTTTGTCCAAAAATTCCATTGTCGGATACCCACGGGCGATCTCTTCTTTACTCATCACCCGTGGGCAAACTCGCTGAAAAATCGTCGTACATATACATGTATGTAATTAATACGCGCGGGTTATTTGATTGGCTGCTGCACAGCGTCGCGATGGCAAACAACGGATCAAAGTTCACGTTACGTATATTACTCGTTTGTTCAACAATGCCAAAAACTTCTCCTTAGTTAACACAACGATTGCTAATTAATCCACTCACCGGTGCATTTCGCAGTTTGAGAAAGGTACTCCAATATAATTTCGAACTGGTATTTCATACCAGTGACCTGTACGACTTGACCTTAATCGTTTTAAAACAAAATTTTACGTTTTAACGGACGTCAAGATATTTTGTTTAGTATAAATAGGAAACTGATAAACGTATTTTAAAATTGAAGAGTTCCGTTTTCTGATTGGTTAACGAAGTTAGTGGTCAAGGTCAAACAGATCTATTTTTTTTTCTCTCCCTTGAACAATCTGTTTTTTTAATTTCTGCCACGAAGTGCGTATGGTTAAAAGTGTGCGTAGACCTTGAACTAAACTAGATTGAAAATGAGGGTCAAGTATCCTAAATGGGACCAGGTTCATGTATATTGAGCCTCTTCCAGACGGAAAATATCTACCCAGAATTAATTACTGTGGTGGTATTCAGTGTAAACTTTTTCACTACGGTCAACCCAAAAAAGACATAAACCTTCTATGTACAAATTGCTGGAAAACTGACCACACTCGCTCTAATTGTACATTCGATACCTGCTGTAAGGTATGCAAACAACCTGGCCATTCCCCCGGGAATGAAGCATGCCCGCATTACCAGCCACAAAAGCATTTGACCCCTTTCTGTGGTGCAGAGGATGTTCTATCCAATTTTTACCCATGCAATTTGGATATATTTGGTGTCAAACACAAGTCGGCTGAGCATGCCTTTCAGTACATTAAAGCAATAAGATGTGGTGACCTAGAGTCTGCCAATATCATCAAGGATGCCGATGATGCCCTTTCCGCTCTACGCCTAGGCAAAAAAATTAAATCCAACGAGCAGTGGGAGTCTACCAAGGTGTGTGTCATGGAGGAGATCTTGGAAAACAAATGTGTCCAGGTACCTGTTTTCAGAGATAAATTGTGTACCTCCAAGCAATCAACAGTTTTTGTAGAAACAACGTACAACAATGAGTGGGGATCTGGACTTGACCGTGATGGTACGTGCAACACCAAACCTGAACACTGGCCGGGAAAAAACACTCTTGGTGTCCTTATGAAAAAAATTGCAAAAAAAGTTAGAAAAAGAAAGCTAAGTGATCCTACAAAAAATGAAAGAAAACAAAAACAAAAAGAACATTCAAACCAACGCACAATAGTGCAAATGCTACATCAACTTAGAGAAATGTCTGACAGCGATGCATCTGGCTGTAATCCTGACACGGAGAGTTCCGAGGATGAGAAGTAACTGTATTTTCTCCGGTCAGACTGACGCAGCATTTCATGAACTATGGTATGTGCTTAGTGTTATATTTATTTATAGACAAAAATGGCATACTTTAAAAATGCTATCATGAATTGGTATAACTTTTTTTTTTTACTTGTAAACTAATTACACTTATATTAGCGTATTTCCCTTTTTTCTTATATGACATTATTATACAGTTATATCCACCAGAAAAATGAAAAATTTAAGTTTACTGTCGGTGAATGTAAGAGGTCTTAATTCGCCGGAAAAAAGAGCCAAAATTTTTACATGGTTAGAAGAGAGTAAAATAGATATAATACTTTTACAAGAAACTCATTTTGTTGAAAAACGTGTGGAAAATTATGATAGAAAATGGAACGGGAAAATAGTACATGCTTTTTCAGACTCTCCTTTTAGTAGAGGAGTTTCCATTCTTTTCAACAGAGATTGTAATGTAGATATTTTAAATGTACATAAGTCTAATGATGGAAGGAAAATACTTATTAATGTAAAAATAGACGATAATTTATTTACAATCATTAACGTATATGCACCCAATAAAGAGTCAGATAGGTTAGCCTTCTTAAACACTCTCAACAAATTTATTTCTTCTTTTTCTGCGCAAGATAGTACGATCATAATAGGAGGTGATTTCAATTGTAATTTTAATAAAGAAAATGACAAATCAAATAAGAAATTGAATAAAATAGTAAATAAGCTCGACTTAATCGACGTATGGCGTAATAAAAATCCTGCTAACAATGGTTATACATGGTGTGATGCAGAAAGTTGTCCAAAGAGTAGGATAGATTATATTTTTGTAAATAAAGACTTTATAGAACGTGTAAAAAATATTATTGTACGACGAATTCCAGGTACTCACAATAATAGCACACGGTTAAGTGACCACAGATATCTTAAATGTACTTTAAATCTTAGTAAACTAGAAAGAGGTGCAGGTTACTGGAAATTAAATGTATCTCACCTTGAAAAGGATGATTACAAACACGGTATAATAGATATATATAACAATATTGATGAAACGCTAGATCCAATTTTGAAATGGGAAACTTTTAAAATAAGTGTTCGTGATTATTCTATTAAATACGCAAAACAATCTAAGCATAATATAAAATATAAAGTAAAACTGCTTGAGGAAAAAATCGATAATATTGAATCATTGCGTAGTTCAGAAATTAATATGAATGAAAAGCGAAAACTAGAGAAAGAATTAGATGCAATGTATGACGAAATTGCTAAAGGAGCTCAAATAAGATCAAAAGCGCAATGGATAAGCGATGGAGAGAGAAATACAAGTTTCTTTCTAGGATTGGAAAAAAAACATCAATCAAATAATACGATAACTGAATTAAAAAAGAATAATAAAACATTTGCTAGTAATAGTGAAATTTTACAAGAAATGTGCCTTTTTTATGAAAACTTATATACAAGCAAATCTGTTGATGATAACAATATTTCGTCTTATTTACAAGACATTGAATGTCCAAAGCTCAATGATCGCGAGCGAAAGTTTTGCGACACATTTCCAACATTTGATGAATGTTCAGATGTGGTTCATAATTTAAAAAGCAACAAATCTCCAGGTTTAGATGGATTACCAGGGGAATTTTATAAATGTTTTTGGAATATAATTGGACCTCTCTTTTACGAAGTATTATTAACTGTATTTGAAAAAGAAGAATTACCATATTCTCAGCGATTGGCACTTATCACCCTTTTATTTAAGAAGGGTGACAAGAATAGTCTTAAAAACTACAGACCATTAAGTTTAACAAACACCGATTACAAGATTATAGCCTTTGTTCTCGCAAAAAAATTACAAAGTGTCATAGATAAATTAATTAGTAAGGAACAATCGGCATATATCAAAGGTCGCTACATAGGTATAAATGCAAGATTAATTTTAGACATTTATGAATATTGTATGGAAAATGAAAGAGATGGATTATTACTATTTTTAGATTTTGAAAAGGCTTTCGATTCAGTCGAGTGGAATTTTCTTTTCCAAGTTCTGAAAAAATTTAACTTCGGTGATAATTTTCTCCAATGGATGAAAATTCTGTACAATAAACCAATATTCAGAATTAAAAACAATGGATGGATTTCTAAAACTTGTAGCATGAATAGAGGTATTAGACAAGGATGCCCTATTTCAGCTCTATTGTATCTATTTGTGGCAGAAATATTGGCCCTTAAAATTAAAAATAACAATGAAATACAAGGTATTAATTTATCAAACACGAAAAGAGATATAAAAAATATTCAGCATGCAGACGATGTCACACTGGCTTTAAAAGATATATCTTCTTTAAATATTGCAGTAACGACTGTTAATGAATTTTGTAAACACGCTGGCTCAAAAGTTAATTTAAGCAAAACACAATGTTTATTACTAGGTAGTCTTAAAGATAAATACACCAATGTAGGAGGCATACAGGTAACTAATGATGCTGTTCGATGTTTAGGTATTCACATTGGCCATAATAAAATTCAATGTTATGAATTGAATTGGTTAAAAACTTTTCAAAATATGGAAAAACTCTTTGAATCTTGGAAAAAAAGAAAATTGACTATTTTTGGGAAATCATGTGTCGTTAATTCATTAGCTACGTCACAACTTATTTATATGGGTTCAATATTACCAATGCCCGATCCCGAACATATTCGACAAATTAAAAGCAGCATATTTGACTTCATATGGAATAAACGCGATAGAATTAAAAGAGATACTGTGATCGGAAAACAGGAAGATGGTGGAATAGGTGTGATAGATATTGAATTGAAATTTAAGGCCTTAAAGGCAGCATGGACTAGATTCCTAATAGATAAGAATTGTATACTCAGCGAAATAGTAGAAGGCTATTTGAATCGTCTTAATGTTGATATCAATTATATATTAACTTTATCGGAGACAAAACCCTCAGACTTTAAAATCATTTCAAACCTCCCGAATTTTTATAAAGAAGTATTCTGTAGTTTTAATGATTGTAAAAGATATATCGATGAAACAAAATTATCTAATGTAAGTTTTGCTCAGCAACCAATATGGAATAATAATATGTTTAAATATGCAAACAAAACAATATGTTTTAAAAATTGGATCCAAAGTGGGATAACACATGTTAAACACCTTTTTAATAAAAGTGGACAATTTAAAACTCTACAAGAATTGTCCTTTGATCTGAAACAAAAATCGAATTGGTTGTGTGAATATAAAATAATAAAAACGGCAATCTATAAAAAAGCTTTAAGATTAGATATGACTTGTTGTTCATACATACAGACTATAGGAAATTGTTATTTTAATTTTATCAATGGTGCATATTGTATTGAAGATAAAAAATGTAAATTTTTCTACGATAATCTACTCTTTAAGAAATTTAAAGCTCCAAGTCATCAATTAATGTTTAAAAAAATATTTTCTGTTGCTAAAGAGAGTTGGAAATTTATATATAGAAACAAAGTAAAAGACATTTATGACAAAAGAATATGTGAATTTAATTACAAATTGTTAAACAATACATTATGTTGTAACAGTTTTCTTTTTAAATGCAAATACAGAACATCTGCTTTTTGTAATATGTGTGATGAAATTGAAGATATTAGACATTTACTTTTTGATTGTGCACATGTTCAAATACTATGGAAAAATTTGAGTTCTGTGTTAAATTTTGATATACAGTGGAAACATGTCATATTAGGGTTTTATTCTGAAAAGAATTCCAAAATACAATTTTTGAATACCTTTGTGTCTTTCCTAGCGTATAAGATATATAAATTTAAAATGTTTTGTAGATGTCAGAACAAAACTGAAACAAATGATATGTTACTCTCTTATGTAAAAAATAATATTAAAAAAAATATGGACTTATTAATGAAGTTAACGAAAACTCATATGTTTGAAAATAAGATAGTGTCATTTGTAGAATTGCTATAATAAATATTTGTTACTCTGTTATTTATGTTATACTAACTATCCTGACCCGGGATAGTTGGAAATTGTAAATGGGTTTGCACAATGATTAATAAATTTAAAAAAAAAAAAAAAAAAAAGAAAATGAGGGTCAAATGTCCGTCTAAAATTCTAGTCCGGGTTTATTTTCTTACTCCTTGGTCTTGTCTAGCTCGTATATGCGGTCAAAGGTTTAGCATTGACCTTGAACCAAGTGTCTTGGTCAGAGGTCAAGGTCATAGCAGTTCTACGTGCAAAATCCTTGCCTTGAGCACATTTCTTCTCCTATGACCTATCTGGCCTTTAATCCAAGCAGAAAGTTCCCGCGGATAAAATTTTTATTTCAGCTGGGTCCTTTGAAATTGTCACCATCTCAGTAATTTGTAATTTATGTAGGTAAATAACAGTTGGGAACTCAGAGGAGAACAGACTATAATAATTATAAAAAACAACATTCAAACTTTACCCCATGCAGAATAAAGTCTATAGAATGATACACTTTGCGCCACTAAAATCTAAGTATATATTTATTTTAACGCTTGAGATTGGGGCACACTCCGAACAAATATTGACTGGCACAAATTCGGAAAAATAGCTTACATATTAGAATAAGTTGAACTTCAACTACGTGGCTTTCCTTGAATTACACAGTCTAAGATCCTCTTTGAACACTTCGATCTTAAACATGCGTGATCAAGGAAATATCTATAATTGCTCCTTCATTTTGTCTTTTTTTAGGTAACCAGCAAGAATGCTTGTTTGTTGATGTTGTTTTTTTTTAAATTTTATTTGTAAAATCGATGACCAATTGGTCTGGTGCTAGGGCAGGGCTCTATAACTGATCATGTAGGGAAAATTTTACTCTTTTTAGAGAAATAAATATTCCCTTTTGAATATTCACCCATTGATACCTTATGACTAAATATGTCAATTGAATAAAAGAATTGCATTATATAACACGATTTTGAAATGTTTTATGCAAGTAGTTTTTAATGGTCCATAGGTCGGGTAAAATATTATTAAATAAGTTAAAATAACTTATGTTTGTACTGCAAGTTTTATTTAAAGACTGGAAGAGGTCCAAAATGGGGGTTGGGGGTTGGTGCTCAGAGTTTAGTATTGACGTATTTTTTTCAATCGTGGCATTGATTTACACCATGTACGCGGTCACAATTTGTTAAAGTGTACTTTAAGTGCAAGTAAGACATATGATAAAAAGCCAAGAAATCCGCGTAATTTCCCACCCGCTGAACAAAATTTGTGATCCGCGGAATCATGAGCCGGCGGGAAAAAGTATGTTTACATTATTCTGTGAACACCCTTTTTCATGTCGAAGTGTTTTTTTTTTAGATTAAAGATAGTGTTAAATGGGAGTGCAGTTAGCACTGCCATATACAAACAAAGAATTAGATCACCTTTTGATGTTGTAGTAGATTTCCAGACTGTGCTGTTCATCCTTGATCACCCTGTATCTCCTACTTTTGAGCAGTTGCAACATGTCTTCCTCTATCACTTGAATTGCTTTATACAGTTATGAAATTGTCATTTTGTGGATCCTTTGCAGTGTTGTAATCTATTACTAAGGGGACTGCTCAGGCCCCTGGGATTCTTGTTTAAGTCTGTTGTACAGTCGTACTTTCATGTTTTTCAGACATAAACATCAGATCCAAAAGATGCGCACCTCCCAACAATGCGTACTTCTTTGCTAGGTTAACGCACAACCTCAAAAATCACCATGGACGCGTTCCTTTTAATCAAGTTATTGTCAACAAATTACGTCGTTACAATCCTTCCAGCGGTGTCTTTGTATGTCCTAACTCAGGGTACTATGTATTCAGCTGGACATTGATGACCGACCACAAAGAGTGGGTTATTTCCGACTTGATTGTTGGCGGTTCTGCCAAGGCGAAATTAATCGTTGATAGTGACGAGGGATTAGAAAGTGGATCAACAACAGCCGTTGTATATGTCCGCCGTGGACAGCATGTTTTCGTTAGAATAACTGGTGGTAATCGAAACGTTGAATCCCGAGGAAGTGTACCGAGTTTTTCGGGCTGGAGACTACCTTAGACGTGGAAAATGAAACTCGCAACAGCTAATACAGCTTACGGATAACTGTAAATTTTCTGATTTCCTTTGATTATAAATTTTCAATTCCTTTTGTTCATTAAGCAAAAATGTATTTGTATAGCTTTCATTTTACTCTATTTTCTGTATTTGTTTAAATAAAATTATGAAAGCAATGGCATCTGTTATATTTTAAAATTACAAATCAGTTGAGAAGAAAGATAGTAAGCATTTATCTTTCTTGTTATTATAGTATATATAATACAGTATACACAATCAATTGCATTAGACAGAAGTTTGCCCAACTTTAATTATTACCCTATACATAGCTCTGATCCTTAGACTTATTTGGCTCAGCTCTTCAAAGTCTTTTTTACTTAAATATTTTGGATTTCCAACGTTTTGGGCATCACTGAGGAGACATAATTTGTCGAAATGCGCACATGGTGTATCACAATCGGTACCGCGTATATGATTTACATTATGACCCATTGGTGGAGGCCTCTGCTGGTGGACTGTTAGTTCCCGAGGGTCTGTACAGCCCAGTAGCTACGTACCTCGGTACTTGCTTGAAAATGCGGATATATATTTAATTGCTGTGGTAAAATTGAGAAATTTATTTCAAAATCAAGGATTATCTCCCTCATGCATCGCACTGATCCTTAGACGTATATGCCTCACGTCTTTGGTACCTTTTATCAGCTCTTCAAAGTATATTTTGGATTTCCATTGGATTTCCAATGTTTCGGCACGAGCATCACTGAAGAGACATAATTCATCGAAATGCGCATCTGGTGCATGAAAATTGGTACCGTATATGATTTACATTACCCTCTCCAATTTTCAACCAACAGATATATACAATACAAAATTATCATTGTACAGCTTTAACAATGTTGATATTATTTTGGTGACCCAAAATAATATCCTCAAACAGAATCGTGTCAAGGCCTATACTAGTGCTCCTTTGTTATTTCTATTTCAATAGTGATTAAAATAAGGTGTTTTTGAATTAAACTCTCAGCCACTTTTGAAATAGTTATTTCAAAAGTAATAAAGTACTTGTTATTCCAATAGTGGTTAAAATGTTGTATTGTTTTTGAAGTGCAATCCTGACCACTATTGAAGTAGTTATTTCAGTAGAGGATGTTACTTTGATAATACTTGCTTATTGTCAGAACTGTTTTTTCTTATAAATAAAATTCGTCTTTTTTTTGATAACAAGAAAAACAAGCATTCTGAGAGTATTGCATTAGCAATACTAGTCCCCTACCGGCAAGTGTAATCTGTTTCCCGTTAAAAATTGAAAATGCCATAATTCTGTCAAAAATCAATGAAGCGGAGCGAAATGTAAACTTGATCTATAACTCATCAAGGTAAAGCCACGTACCAAATATCAGCTCAATTTGCAAGCGTTTAGAAAAAAAAATGCGGAAACACTGAAAAATTGAAAAGGTCGTAATTCCGTCAAAAATCACTGAAGCGGAACGAAATCCAAACTTGATCTGTAACTCATCAAGATACACTCACATACCAAAAATCAGCTCAATATCTACAAACGTTAAGAAAAAAAGTGCGGAAAACCAAGTGTGACAGACTGACAGACAGACAGAGGGACAGCTAGACGGAGAGACAGATAGACGGACAGACGGACGGACAGACTCAGAGGAAACCTATAGTCCCCTCCGGTTTCACCGGTAGGGGACTAATAACTACATTGAAAGTGATAAAAGAGTTAGATTATTACATGCACAAAATGTTTTGGTCCCAGCTGACAAAGTTTATAACAATGTTGTTCTTTTAAGTAAGGATCTTCATTAAAACTGTATTTCAGAAGAACTTAGTTTTACTCTTACTTCTTCTGGAAATCTATGTTATCCTAACAACCCCCCCCCCCTTCCCCACCCAACCCCAGTTCACTTTCAAAGGATGAAATTCTTCAATATCATGTTTCAATCTTGAACACTTTAAACATTCCAGCCAACAAAAGTAATTCGATTTACGCTACCTATACTGGACTTCAAAACTTGATAAAATTCCGTACAAATAAAGATACATTACAGATTCCAGCAGGTGCTCTAACAAACTTCTTTCAAAAATATTAACTGTCATGAAGGAGAAACTTCAGATGTACTGTGGTTCAACATATACAAGATGTAGTTCAAATCAAATGTTGATTCTCTCACACTCAAAAGAACTTTTAGAAATTTTAAAATCGGAAAAATTTTCCAAAGTAAGAACTACATGTATCAAAAGGTATGGTTTTCAAAACTTTATGCAAATATTCCTTACGATAAATTATAGAGTACGCTTATTGATATTATAGACAACTTCTTAGAAAAAATGGAACTAGGAGATTATCATACCTTGTAATTGGTCATTTACACAATTACCTTGTTAAAAATCATTGTGATTTTAAACACAAGAAATCTGGAGGTGTTATCCTGGATGACATTTACTAAGAGTTTCAGTTGACAACTTTAAAGTACAATAGCAAAATCAAATGTGAACAAAATGCCATATCATAAATAAATATGAATATCAAGAGTAAATGTTTAATAATTGACAAAAATATGAAACATACAGTACCGACCAGACACAACCTAACAGAAAGCGAACCCAGAGCGCATCTCGGTTTCGCTCTTTGGGTTCGCTTCGAGTTCGTTTGAGGTCCGCTAGGGCTGACCCCGAGCGAACCCGAAGCGCATAGGTAGCGAACCCGAAGCGAACCCAGAGCGGACCCAGAGCGAACGCTGAAAGCGAACCCCAAATTCAGTAGCGGTCCCAGAAAGTGAACAGAGCTGTCAATCAGGATTAGCGATTAATCAGTTAGCGCGTCGACCAATCAACATGCCGAACAGGTCTGTCAATCAGGATAAGTGATAAAATGCGTTGACCATCAGCGCGTCGACCAGTCAATATGTCAGTTTGTCATCTAAACATTGTACAAGCAAAGCATGTGAATGTACAGTGTTCAAAATATTATCAATATGATTTTTGAACATGATTTTATATTCATATATTTTAATTCTCCAGACAGCATGCAATATTTACATATTTATTTTCATTATTTTTTTATTTTTAAAATCTTTCAATACATTATATATTTTTATTATCCAGGTAGCAAGTTACATGTATTGTTACATATGTATTTTCTTTATATTTTTAAAATCCATTAATAGATAAATAAACATTGCGTAAATTTATCTACGAAGCCCGATGGGGCCAGTTCAGAGAAAGAATAATCAATGCGTTTAAACACAAAAGATTGCGCATAATTGCAATGTATATTGCGTTAAAACGCAAAACACTTTGCGTTTAAACGCAATTACTTTGCGAATAAACGCAAGAGTTCTTGCGTTTAAACGCAATAATATTTCTGCGATTAAACGAAATAATTTTTGTGATTAAACGCAATAGTTTTTGTGATTAAACGCAATAGTTTTTGCGTTTGAACGCAATACTTTTGCGTTTAAACGCAATAATCTTTGCGTTCAAAGGCAATAATCTTAAAGTTTGTGTTTAAAGGCAGTCATTTGTATTTTACCTTGCAGAGTACAATGGGCGCACGCATTCTTATATCTTTTCTTTCTTTCTTTATTTTACTTATTAGGAAATTGTGTATTGTCTAGCTTTATAGAATCAGATTTCTCCGAGCAAACGCTCTCTGAAAGGATTAATCACTAATAAGAATTTATAGAGGGGAAAAATGTCGGGTTGTAAAAAAACAGGCAACCTAAGAACGAGACATGTCTTAAGCTTATTATTCTCTACATTCTTAATGAAGTTTAGGTCAGTTGCTCTTAAAAAAATTGTCCCCTACGTTGCGGTCACAAGTTTAACCCATGTATACATGGATTTTAGGAAAGGACTGAGAAAATGCTGGAATTACCTGCAACATGATGAAATATTTAGACTTAAATGTACATTCATAACCCTTTCTATGGTTGCATACAGTAAACACAAGAACATATGGGATGGATTTATATGAGATCAAAATCAAATGAAAACAGATTGATCGAGGTGTACTACATGTACCAAATTGACAAGTCTATTAACACCACTGAAGCATTCTCTATAAGTTGTGATATGTGTAAGCAATTGATCAGAGACTTCATTAAGAGTGTTGGGTTCTAATACATTTAAAACATTTAGTTTGTAAGGATGCCATTGTTTTACTACAATTTTCAAAAAATGGAAAGTTTCCCAAAAGACACAGAACAAATCGGATCTTCTTAAAGTTGAAGTGTCGGGTCCTAGTACATGTACATGTAATTATAAGCTTTGATTAATTCATGTTTGTTTTTGAAACTACAGTATCATTATGTTTAAATGCAAAACAAATCCTTATATGGAAGGATTATTGCGTTTAAACGCAAAGATTATTGCGTTTAATCGCAAAAAATATTGCGTTTAACCTGTTTCCCCCGCTCACCACGGGGAGGTGAAAGTAAAACTTTTTTTTAAATTTGAAATCTATTTTATTTAATAAAACATTTTAGAAAATTTTAAAACCGAGCATTGTTCATGGGTAAAATACACAAACTTTACATAATTGGTAGAGCATCGGAGGCCATTTGCTTGACGTAATGCTGTTTGGATATCTCTTATAATGAATCAAAATGAATAGAACTTAATATATTCAGTGGCATTGCTCGCTGATTCGATATGTAGCGGTAATGACTTGTAATCGGCAATAGCCTTATTGATAAAATGTAGCGGTAATGATCACCCGAAATTTCAAAGAAATGTAGCAGCAATGAGTTTAAATTTTTTCGCAATGTAGCGGTAATGTTGACCTCCCACTACGAAAACGTACATATATTTTTTCATTACATAGGTACCTGTATTTGAACTTTTTTAATTGTCATAATTATTTAATTTTAACACTATAATAATTACATGTATAGTTTCAAAGCGAAGCCAAGGTCATCACTTGTCGGTAATCATCTACCTGTTTCTGGGATATTGATGGTGCATGCTAAGAGCAATTGCGGTGTTTTTTTTTAATTGACACTTGCTAGCTGGATGTATACTGTCTCCGTGGTCACGGTATACCTGAGTTTATACTCCCCCTACATTCAAGCCCTTCATGAACCCTTCATGCCCCTAAAGTTACCTCGTCTGGGCACGTTATCAATGAGAAATCCAATTATTATTATTATTATTAATTTTGAT